TAAGAGTTTAATTTTCTAAATTTAAATGTATTGATTATTCCTTTCCTTATACTTAATATAAAGGCACAGTAGGCAAGAAATTAAATGCTCAAGAAATATTCAGAGTCACCTTCAAATTGATCTCGTACGTCGGATAGCCTTGATATGACGTCAGCGACTTATTGGGGGCAAAAAGGAGAATGCATAAATTCAATTTCAAATTAATGAATGAGAAAAAATATGAATTTTTGGTAAAAAAAAATCCCCAGATATCAAACAACGTCGTTTTATACCCTTATTTTATTCCCAGCAGTGAATGACGACGTTTTTGTATCAATGTTTTCTTTTTAAAAAGAAATTTTGTTGAATCTCGAAACAAAATGACCACAAATTATACTTGCGCTTCATCTTTCCTTTTTTCCTTCTTGTTTTTTAGCCTCCTCCCTCTTTTTTAAGATCTCTATTTACGCTGATACCCCCACCGTTTTTTGGGACCGAAGGATTATATATAAAAAATTGTTACAGACACGAATTAGAACCGCAGTTCCTCTGCCGCGACTAAAACTATAGCTGCGGCTAAATATCAAACTGCCGCTAAAGACCACCTTCAAAATTGAATCTAATCACCATAACCTCCGTTCAGAGTTGTTGAAGTTTATTATCAGAACGTTTGTCGATTGAGTCCATAGATTCGATTTTGCAACCTTCACCGGTGAGACTGTTGGGGACGAAGATAAAGAGCAGTAACGAGAAGAGGAAGGGACTCTAATCTTGATTGATCATAGATCGTGGTGCTAGACAAGATTTGAACATTGTTCTATATACACTACTTTTTCTACTTTTTCTTTTTCTTTCTATTTGGGCTCTAATTCTATTCCTGTGAAGAGTCGCTCACCAGATTTTCCAGAGGATTTTTTCCTCTTCTCTCCCCACTACCGTGGATTGTGCCACCAACTCACTCACCGGAAAAAAAAAGTTTCGTCTTTCTGTACTATTGCTGCTGCTTCTTTTTCCTTAGAGTCTACTCCTAATCTTTTCTTCTTCTTTTTTTGTTGATTTTTGTTGGTGTTTACATTGCAAAACTTTCTAATAGGGTATAAACCAGAATTGCATAATTTCCGCTATTTGTTTCTGTTGAGAGCTCTCCGCGCAAAAAGAGGACACCAAACCACATCAAATGCCAAGGACAATCAGAAGGACTTTTTTGCTGGGGCTCTCCGCAGTTCCTGAATTGTTTTATTCTCCAAAAGGTTTGTTTTGGTGTAGTTCTCTTTTTATTATGATTTGTTTTGATTCTGCTTTTGCCATTCAATAGGGAAATAGTTACTTCATCATGAAATCTTGAATGATATCTAATCTTGTCTATGCTCACTGAATTTCACTTGGTCCTAATCTTTTCTTATTTTTCAGGTTGCCTAATCTGTTATTTTTTTCATGGATGTTCCAATTAAACTTTGTGGAGATGGTATCGTCTTCGTCGTCCTCCTCGTAAGAATTTGATTATTTGTTCAAGTTATTGTTGATTGAAGATTCTGGAGTAGAAAAAAGTAGTCCTTTGCTCAGCTTTACTCCAGATACCTTCGAAGATCTCTCTCCTACCATAGGTAATACTGATTTTATTTTTTCCTTTCATATCTTTTGTATTAAAACGAATTTGAAGTTTTGATCTTAATATTCACATACGGTTATGATTTTGGTTGGAAAGGTAGGATTTTACGAGAATGTTTGAGTTGCTAAATTCTATTTAATCTAGCAGAATTTCATGTAATTGTGTTTGTTTTAGGTTGTTGTCGGTTAGTCATCAAATTGAACTCTTTCAGAATATGAATAATTATAAGGAGAGTGAGAAATAGAGAGATATTGTCAGCAGAAATAGCAGAATTGTGGAACCTGAGCCATGTTATAAGGACCTTTGCAAGATATAGTTCCTTTTTAAAATTTTTTTTTTTTTTTTTGAATCCTATTGAACTGGCCGAATGTTTGTTCTTCTTTTGTGTTTCAAACCAATTTTAAATGTACATGGAATATGGAATATTTGCTGATCAATTGGTTTCATGTCAATTTATGTCAATTTATCTTATGTTAGTTGGACAAAGGTGTAGACCTTTCAGCCCTGGTAAAAGTTCTCATGACTTACTATTTTTTGGGATATGATCATGTTTGCATTGGTGTGTTGTATACTGTCTCCACCAAACCTGGTTTGTTTTGAACCTATTTAATTGCAAAGTGAAAATTGAAGTGGAAGGGAGGCCTTTTTATGCCTTAGGTTTGAACACATAAAATTTTGGTTTATTGCTGGTAGACATTCTTTGTTGTTGTTCCCTAAATGTGATCTATATGAGAATACATTATCAATCACTTTAAAATTAATTGGGTTACAGAGGTTCCTTTACTGTCAACAAAGTGAATCACGTGGAAGACTAATCAAATGTAGTTTAGTATACGATCGCAACAACATTGCATCAAATTGGGACCAAAATTTATCATAAATCCTCACTTCACTAGATATCTGCACCAAAATTTGTATTTCTTTTACTGACTTTATATACTTGTGATATTGTAATGTACTCTTTTTCTGACTTTATGTTTCTAATATTTGACTGTTTTATAATAAAGAACTAAAATACCATCTCTGTATATGTCTACGGTTCAAAAAAGTTGATTAGCCTTGAGAAATTACTTCCATGTCTAGATTTGAATATTTTTCTCTAATTAATATGCCTAGGCTCTCTTTAAATTGATTGACTTTATGGATTTATGCCTTAGGTTTGAACACATAAAATTTTGGTTTATTGAACTGGTAGACATTCTTTGTTATTGTTCCCTAAATGTGATCTATGTGAGAATACATTATCAATCACTTTAAAATTAATTGGGTTACAGAGGTTCCTTTACTGTCAACAAAGTGAATTACGTGGAAGACTAATCAAATGTAGTTTAGTATACGATCGCAACAACATTGCATCAAATTGGGACCAAAATTTGTCATAAATCCTCACTCCACTAGATATCTGCACCAAAATTTGTACTTTTTTTACTGACTTTATATACTTGTGATATTGTAATGTACTCTTTTTTTTGACTTTATGTTTCTAATATTTGACTGTTTTATAATAAAGAACTAAAATACCATCTCTTTATATGTCTATGGTTCAAAAAAGTTGATTAGCCTTGAGAAATTACCTCCATGTCTAGATTTGAATATTTTTCTCTAATTAATATGCCTAGGCTCTCTTTGATATGTATGCTGGATTATTTGAAAATTTGGAATATAATGATGAGCTACTTTAGTAGCATGATAAGGCTCTTGGTGTAAGGGAAAAAAAATGATAGCATACGAATTTGCTACATGCATTAGTGAGCTACTAACTTGATGTCCTAATTATGATAGTTTATTTGTGGTAAATTTTGCTTTACCAGGTAAATAAAATACTAGACACTTGGCTACTCGTCTTAATATTAGTACCTGATGATTGCGAATGCTTTGGGGGGAAGCTACCCGTTTCTGCTTTAGATTGACTAAGGACAGAACATACTGCATTACTTCATATGTAAAGCTCATTGCCTTTTTGTTGTTCTTCAGGTTCAGAAACTTCACTGATTGTACCATATACAGATAAAAATAGCGAAGAATTTGCAATTGAAAGGAGTAGATACATTTAGAAAAAGATAATCACTGTCTCTGTACCATTTAAAAAAACTTTATTTCGTAAGACTTTCTGGTGGCTTTTGCTTCTCTGCTGCCTTACTATGCTTCTTGCAATCTATGCCAACAATCATTTGGTTGTCAATAGTGAGAAAGAAGATAAGTATTTCGAGTTTCTTTACCCACTAAATATAAAAAATAGGAATCTATTATGTTATTCTAGAAGACCTTTCAGAGAAGGAAACACTCTTCTATAACTTTGCGCATAAATGTTTCTATTGTTTATCCTTAATTTTCTTTTTATCATTTACTACATAATTTCTTCATCTATCTGGAACAACTTTTATTGGTGCATATTCTTCAGCTGCTCGCCAAACAACTATGAACTATGCTTCACACGCACTTAGTTGATTCTTAAGATTTGCTCAACAAATAGTATGGCGAAAAATAATTTCATTGAGTTTGATCTTATGCAACTACTTGACTCTTGCTCAGTAAAGTCATGATCAACTAATAGGTTTGGAATTTTTTTGGCGTACATCCCTATACTCTGCTAATTAGGCATTAATTTCTGGTCTTCATTTCTATTTTTTGCACCAATGTTTCCATATGTCAAACCTTTTTCCCACAAACCTGGTCTGATGGTAGTGTTGACAAGTGATTCTTTGATAATCCTGTGCGGGCTTAAAATCTTGCATTTATACAAATAGTTCTATTATTGTTATTCTTTGCACTGCTGCATTTAAAGTAATGCCGCCATTGTTGTCAAGACAAGCCCAAAACAATGGAAAAGTGGTTCACTCCAAGCTCACTTTACCCGAGAAAACAAGGCTTCTTCGCCTCCTAAGGCTACTACTTTGATTCTTTTGTAGCAACCGATCCTAATTTATGAGCTCCTAATACAGAAATTCATAAAGCTCGAGTATTACCTTTTACTTCTTCTCGATTTGGTGAATACAAATAGTCTTATCGACTAAAGAAACGAATAGAATACAAAGTAAAGTCAAAGATAAAAAAAAAAGCTACATTTCATAATAAAAAAATTAAGTAATTGTAATTCAAATTATTGACATAGAATTCAATAAAACAAACTATTTTTATACTTTGTCTGTAGCATTACTTTTTGGTTACAAACACAGTATAATAATTATATAATACAAACTGGTCACGCAACGCGCGACAAAGACAAGTCTAGTTCTTTATTAATGATGCATTCTTATAAAATAAAATTATTATGGACTCATTGCAATAACTATTAAAAATTCCATTGTGTCGACATTTTTGTCGACACAGCTGGAATGACGAGTTAGTCGACGCAGATGGTTCCTCCACAAAAAATGACGGCGGCTAATTTTAAATGGATACCTATGATCAATTCCACTGTAATTGGAAAGGAAATTTGATTTGTTTACATAGACTTTCTTTCCTATCAGGTTGATTTGGTGACGTACTTAAACTGGGCAGAAGAAGGTGTCTCAACAGAATAGGCCAAGCTAGGACTAAAATTTTACAAATACTAGACAAACTGCAACAAATTTTACAATTCACCCAAAGCATCATTTCATTCCTTGTTTGGTACAATCTACAAAGCATCATTTCCTTCAATTTGCACTCAACCATCCTTGTTGCCTTCCCCGAAAATAAGCTATCAAGAGTATCAGAAAAAGTAACAATATCCAGAACAGGCAACAAAAAATTCTTCATGAGATTCAGGAATCATTGCACTAAACAATATCTAGATTTCCAGCAGACTAGCAAATGAGTACAAGATGGCTTCACAACTAGCCGTGCTTCTTATAGCTCTGTTCGAACACCACCTCCTTGAATAACCTGTAAAGTTTCTGACAAATGTTAATATGCTTTTTCATTGAGAATAACATGCAAATCCAAAAGATATTAAATAAGTATGTTGATAGCTCATACCCTGCAAGAAAGAATATCAGGACGGGCACAAATCAGTTGACCATTAGCCTTGTCCACTGCTTCTGGAGCACCTCCGCCATCGCTTTTCTACAAAAGTTGTACCAATCAGAACATTCAAAGTGAGCCCAGGATGTAGTTATTGTTGAGTTGAACCTTGAAATCTAAGTTGAAATTAGTTTGAGAACCTAGAGGAGTACCTTATAAAAGTCAACCACAATGAAATTAGGCCACCTTTTTCCAGCTGCTTCGTAGCAAGTATTCAGCATATCCATCAGAGGCGCTGAATTCTCTCTGCAGGCTCCAATAATGCTTGGATAGTCTGGGAAATAGTTCATTACTATCAGTGACCTTGTGGTTGTGTTCATTGCAAGGGACTCTCCGCGGTTGAGACATTTCCCAGCTACCATTCCTTCGGGGCCATCTGCAAGTTCATTTTGCCTTTGAATTTATCTTGGCACTAAAGCATCTTTAATTAATGACTGGAATCTGAGTTACACTTCAAACAAGCCAAAACTCACTTTGGTTTTCAACGGTATATTTCCACTGATAAGCAATGCCCTCAGTTGCGTCCTTGGAAGAGTTTGATGTGAAAACTACCAAGCGCTGATTCTTCTCAATCATATCATCTACTGTTGCCAGTCTCCACCATTTTTGGGCATCCTTGACACTGGGAACCAGACTTTTCTCAGACCAGCAGCGTCGAAGACTTTAGTAAGACCACTGGGAGATGTAACATAGTCTTCAATCCTGATTGTGACAATTTCATAGGGATTTGCTTCCAGAAACTCTCGAACCTCATTCAAGACACGAATGGCTGGTTCCTGAGAATTAGATGATATTATATCATCATGAAACTGTGCAATCAGTAGATTGTAGAACTACTAAATTCACTATAACAATTAAGAACCAACCTTAAGGTGTCTTTGTGAGCAAGTTCTACAAAATAAATCAGGCAATTCAGACAGATAAATCATATTACTTTCGTTTAAGGCTAAAGGAATGGGGATGTAACATGAGCTAGCCAGGTAGAATGCACTAGGAAATGACTTTTTTATAGTGGCAACAATTCCATGTGTAAAGTTGAAGTTAAAACACTGCACTTACAAAGGCTGTGTAATTGTAGCAGGTACTCCCACCAAAGGAGTGGCATAACCAAATGTCATCCTCATAGTCATACAAGTCAAGCATCAATCCCCTGACACCATTCTGCACCAGAAATGGAAAATGTGAACAAATTTGATCCGTAAAATATAATGATGAGTTGCATATTAATTATGAGTGGTGACCGTTGACGAGACCAAGAATCATGTATTAGACTCCCTCTGCCTCCCACTCCCAACAATTGCCTTCTTTCTAACCAAAATAGTTCAACCAACATGACAAATTTTACCGACAAGGAGCAGTTCTTACAGTGCATGATTGAGTATTCACACAATTCAGTTGCTAATTAGAGCCTAACCTACATTTGAATAAAAACTTTAAGCAGATGAGTAAGAGTTCCAGAAACTTAGAATCAATATCTTTCAGGCTTGTGCAAGCAAACAAGCACGGGTTCAAGAGCAAAGTGCAATAACTGAGGTTGTTTTGTGTAAGAGCAACTAAAAACTGAGGTCTCTGTTTAGAAAAAGTTAGTACTATGTTAATGATCAGATGGTCTCCCATAAGCTTTGAGGTAAGCCTAAACTTAGCTTAAGTTAATAAAATTTTAACTCAAAACATTTCTCATCCTGTGGATCCTGTTCAGTCTGGTATGAGTGTTGACCAAAATAAATTAGGCTGTATCATGTCAAGAGAACAACAGCAATAAGGTGCTATACTTTAAACTAACATTTCCTTTCAGAAACTACACCATTTGGTTATCCCTCAACACCAGTAGCATGAAACAAATGTGTAAAGAGTAAAGACTAGTCCCTGTGGCTTTTCCTAAAGAGATATCAATTATGTAACTTCTATTTGCTTATCAGAAGCCAGCAAATAGAAGAAAGAAATATTTACATGGGTCACATCTCGCAGAAGCATATAAGAAGCTTCAATTTGCATACCATAAAATGGCATTCCACAGTAACTGGCAGCGGCTTTTCCCAAACGAGAATTCATTCTGAAACTTTCATTTGCATAAAGCCAGGTGTTAAAAGAAAGAAATCTTAACACAGGTCACATCTTGCAGAAGCATTTAAAGAAACTTTAATTTCATTCACACGAAATGACAGAAAAAGGGAAAATATATGCACAATCTATACACACGAATTAAACAGGGGGAGATAGCTGAAACTAACCATTGACATAGGATCAACAGGTTTAATTCGGGTGCAACGAGGTCCAAAATTCCGGAACAGGTACCGCAATGTAACCCTGCGCCGCAGTCGCTCCTAGAGGGGCGAAACATAAGTAATTTTCTAGAAATCACAGTGAACAGAAATTTAGGGCGGCCAATGGAAATGAAGACGATTCGTATACCTTACTAGCCGCCGCAGAACAACAGCAGAGCCACCAACGTCAAAATCGGCGCACCGACGTAGAATTTCATCTTGAGCTGTCGCCTGCGTTGGAAAACGCTCACGATTTTCAAAGTATAGCTCAAATTACCGGCGGCCGGAAGAAAATGCTAATAATCGCATTTGTTAGCGGCAGTCAGAACAGTTGTACATAAAAATTCTTGCGGTGTACCAGTAAAATTCAGTGAGCAGCGAACTTCTCGATCGGCGTTAGGAAAGTGTGAGAAACGATTCTCTGAGGGATTTATGAAGAATGATCGGAGCTAATTTCTGAGTGACTGCGCGAGTGTGTGTTTGCAGTGACGGAACCTGACCCGATTATTTGTTGGGTCGATCATAACTAAAAATTTTTTTTCACAAAAATATGTAAAAATTGTAAGGTAGTATGTTTTTAAAAAAATTTGCCGATCGCAGGGTCGACGGACCCGTTTGCTCCCCCATAGGTCCGTCCCTGTGTGTTTGTGAGTGGCAGCGCCTCCCCGCTGCATGTGCTGACTAATGCCGACGGAGTGATGAGCGGTTTTCTATTTTTCTCTTTCCCGCCTCCGCTCTGAAATGTATTTATCCTTTTATTTTTTTTTTCGGAAATAGAAATATATTTATTTATAGTGCAACTTTTTTCACACTGTCCAAACCGGCAAATTAATTCCGATTTAGCTGATTCGACCAGTTTCGGTTAACCGTGCTCAGCTATAGTATCTATTCCCTTTCTCAGTTTTTCTACTCAATGAACCGTGATCAACTTTCCGAGATGGTCTCCGGAGCAATTAATTTATCATTCTATCCAATTATGAAATAGAAGTTCGTTATTTCACCATATCCATTTAATCACTATGGTTATAATATCCACAATGAAATAAATACAAATGTGCAAACTATTGTGTACTAATAATCAATTTTAGACCATGACTTGAACATGATAGTAATTGTAACAATATAGTTGTCAAGAAAGAGTATCTTTTATTGTACTAATAAAAAAAAAATCAAACTTTTATTTTCGCAGTTACATCAAATTAAAAAGTTTATGTATCCTGAATATTTTCAAGACAAATAAATTGTAAAATTCATTTAAAGAAGAAAAACATGACAATTAAGATATTTTATTTATTAAAATATATTACTCATATACTAACATCGACAAAGGTTTCACGATCATTTTTTAAACGTTAACAATAATATCTGCAACCACAGGAGTTAAAAGTGATACCAGATCCACATACACAATCAAAGTACAGTGTATCTGGATTCGCAAGTCTTAGAACATGTAGACACTCGTCGGGATCTTGACATGCGTGGTCTAATTTTACCTTTTGGATACATTTATGAAGTGGAGGATCACCTGAGAAAATACAAGAAAATTAAATAATTTAGCAAAAAATTTTATCACACACTTTAAGCGATCTTCGTTGGGTGTTAATTGATAAAATTACTCTTATTTCTTAAAAAAATGTATTGAATCCCCACTCTAACCTGGATTGAGAGTTAACTATCCCTGTATGCATATGAACATTTGGGTTTGTTTGTCACTCAAATTTTATTTAGTGACTTACTTCTCACCCAATTTTATACACATTATTGATAGTTAGAATTAATAAAAAAAAAAGATGGAGAGAAAAATAAAATTAAAAAACAGTGACCCCTAAATATGCCTACTAAGAAATGGACGTACTAAATAGAATATAAACTTCAGCTTCGAGAAAAATTAATCTACCATTAGCGTAAACTTAAAGACCAAATCTATCATAAAAAATTTTTCAATACTATTATCGTGTGTAGATGTGATAAAATGGAAAAGAATTTGGCAATCTGTACCTTCTGAAGCAGAATCCGAAGGGGCAAACGAACTTTGCGTAATAAGAAAAACAAAAAGCATCAAAATGGCCATCGCGTGCTTCATTGTCGATCTATTCTTGTTCTTGTTCTTGCTTTTTTTTTTTTTTGTGTGCTTGAAGATATGTATAAACATATGTGATGATTTTTGCAGATCAACTCTGGAATTAATGTGAAGATATTCTAATAAATTACTTTGATTTTTTTTTTTTTTTTTGCAGTGATGAGAAGATCTCCTCAAGAGGATAAAGTTTTCAAATGGAATCATCTACTAAGCCCAATACTTATGACTTTCATTTACTACCACCCCAATCATCCTTCTCCTTTCATTTCTTTTTGGGCTCAACCCACTTGTTTACTTGCTTTTTCCCCCGCAGTGTTAGTTCATTACTCTCCATTTCTGCAACCCAACTAAAAAAGCATCGTTTCCTTCGGTTTTGCACTGAAACCATCTTCTTTGTTCCCCAATGTTAAACAACGTTCCACGAAAAATAAGTACAAAACCCATAACTTCATTCTTGATATTCGGACTTTCGTTCAATAACCAAAGTAGTTGTGGTAAAATAGAAGGAACTCCTCTATATTTAACCATAGATTGAGGGTCCGAATTTCGTTATAGGAATTGAGCAACCTTAAATATTTTGACTAGGTGTCTCACTTACCCATTGAGGTGCCTACAATTCAGCGAGGGGGATTAGTCACTGTTATCATTAGTGGACACTCTGCAAATCTAAAAAATAAAAAATAAAACTTTCATCCAATGTGAAATTTCTGCAACAGTTAGTTGGCCTTTTTCAAACTAATTTTTTTATTCTTAAGTTTTGTTTCGGATCCCCTAACTGTGATGAATATTGTAGCCCGTTTGGAATGGTCACGGCTTACGGAAATGTGACTGATGGTAATGGCTAATGACGATGTAATGCTTGAAGTGATGTCCAAAAGGAACAAAAAAAAATAATGGTAATAATTTAGTAAAAAAAAAACTGAAAAAAACCCGGAGTGGTGTGTGGTATATAGTCGGCTTTTATACCCGAAAAAAAGGGGTTAATTTTAATTTTTACGTAATTAATACGGAATGCTTTTATTTAATTTTGTTTTTTGATAAATGTGTTTCTTATTCACAAAATTTTTTGCAATTTTCCTTTTATTAAAAGATGTCAACACACAATTTACAATTGGTTTTTAGCAACTTAATTTTAAGAAAAATAAATTTTCTTATTATTATCGGCCTATTGTCTAACATATACACACAAAGGTGAAAGAATGCGTACAATTGAGGTGATTGTGTGTGGGTTTTTTTTTTGGGGCTAAAATGACGTTTTTACCCCTCGTTGGTATTCTATGTTTTACTTTTGTGCAGCTGGTTCCGTCTGTAAATACGGAGGTTTTTGGGATTTCTTTTGCCGGGTAACTGGAGACTGTACCTACGAGGAGAAAGAGTGCGTTTTCAGGCCATTTAGTGTGTGTGAATTGAAATTGAGACTGTTCTAATTTGGTACCGTTTGTATTTATGGTGTTTTCAAGCAGTGGATTGAATGGTTTGGTTAATAGCGTCTCCAGAGGCGCGGGAGATTTCATCTAGGCGTAATCGTGCTTTTAATATGAGTGATAGCTAGATTGATCACCTTTCCGGCGCCAAGGAATTGAAAATATTCTGAAATGGCATCTTATAATTCGTTTACTTCGATTAGATGAGACTCAAAAGTTAGGGAATTTTTGTATATGGAATTCTTGGTGGTCTCTATTTGTTTCAGCACTCTTTTCAGTAGAATGGTCTTGTAGTGTGACAACCAAATTTATCAAATTATAAAGCAAATCAAAAAGAGTTATTAACTTGTCAAGGTTAAGGCTCTTCCGAAGCCTGGATATAACACTTGTTCCATAGGTAGCCATACTTGTGATAATCAAATTTCTGATACAACGAAACTATTTATAGAGATAACCTGACACAACACGACACAATTAATACGATTTTTGTGTTTTTATTACATTTTTTAATTTTTTTTTTTTTATGAATCATGTGGAATACATTACTTGAAATTGACCTAATAACTTGAATCGACACCTGTCAGCCATTAAGAAATGGAGACAACAAAAAAGATTAAACAAATGTGACGACAAATATGGTAAATAATGCGTAAAAATCATAAAGGCGGGCAATATAAAAAGTTCAATTTTTTTTTATTTTAAAAAAAACTACTCTCAATTTATCAATTGCGAATAATTTAAAATTACTATTCTAATAATTAATCAAACATTTGTCTCACTTTATTTAAGATAAATAAATGTAAACTTCCTTTAACGAAGAAAAACGTGACAAGTAGGAGATTTTACTTAATAATATATGTCATATGTAACATTAAGAAAGATCTCAAGATCATTTCTTAGCTAAAAACATTCGTAAATGCTCTTTATGTAGATGGGGTTATATTCTTTTGATGTTCCCCAAGTTTTATTACTCTACTGTTAGAGGAGGATACTAGGCAGTTATCTAGCCATGTATAAGTAACTGTTCTTAGCATACTGGCTAAGCTTTCTACCAAAACAAAAAAAAAAAGAAAAAAATCATTTCTTAAATTCTAACAATAATATTTGCAAGTACAAGTGTTGGAAGCGAAATCAGGTGTGCAATAACATTCGAAAAATGGTGTAGTTGGATATTTAGATCTTAGAACATTTAGACACTGATCGGGATCTAGACATTCGCTGTCTAGTATTCCCCTTTCATAACATATATGAAGTGGAGCATCACCTGAAAAAAACACAAGAAAACAATTTAGCCAAAAATTTTATCAAACACTTTTATTCATTTGATCGATTCTGGTTCAGTGTTTATTGACGAAACTATTCTTATATATATTTTTTTAAAGGAGATATTAAATCCCTGCTCTAACCTGAAACAATCGTTAATCATCCTCTTTATACGATTTGTTATGGCAATTTTATTCACGAATATCCAGATCTTGTCACGCAATCTTTAGAGTGACATACTTTTCACCGATTTTATACATATATTAGTGTTGTTTACAATTAATTAAAAAATAAGATTAAAAAACAGAGACCCTAACTATGCTAATAAGAAATTGGGATGTAGTACTAAATAGAATGAACTTCAAAAAGTGCTTCGAGAAAAATTAATCCCCCATTAGTGTAAAATTAAATAACATCTTGTAAATGGGGTAAAAATGGAAACAAAAATTGACAAAACTGTACCTTCTTGTGAAGAATCCGAAGGCGCAAATAAAATTTGCGTAATCAGAAGAAAAAGCATCAAAATGGTCATCGCGAGCTTCATTCTCAACTTATTCTTGTTCTCGTCCTTTTGGGGGAATATGTATAAATATATGTGATGATTATTGCAGATCAACTCTGGAATTAATGTGAAGATATTCTATGGAAGCCAACGGCTTGATTTACAAAAACATCTCCAGAAAGAAGGGATGAAGACTGGATCTTTAACTATGTTTTTCCTAACTTTCCCGAGCGGAGATGACAAAATATGTTCTCCAATTGGATATGAGAGAGCAAATTTTGCTGACGCATCGGCGATTTCGTTATTCTAGCGCCTTGTATGTATGCTTAAAGGAAATTTGGCAATTGAGGGTGAGTAACAACTTAATTCTAGGTTACTATTTACAGACGAAGAGGCCTCGTCCATCAAAAACTCAAAACGCCCTTAGGAAATCGATTTCTACCTCAATATTCCTAAATTTAATTTCTACCTCAATATTTCTAATAAATTACTTTGAATTTATTTATTTTTTGTATCAACAAGAAGATCTCCAAAAGAGGATAAATTTTGTGGGAAATGGAATCATATAGCAAGCCCAATACAAATGGCTTTGTATTTGCTGTAGCGCAATCATCCTTATCCTTTCAATTTTTTGGGCTCAACCCGCTTGTTTTTAATCTCCGCAGTATTATTAGTTCATTGCTCTTCATTGCCCAACCTAACTAAAAAAAGCACCATTTCCTTCAGTTTTGCACTGAAACCATCTTGTTTAATTCCCCAATGTCACATTAAACAACGTTCCACCGGAGTGTCAAAAAAAAAAAAAAGAAAGTACAAAACCCATAACTTCATTCTTGATATTCGGTTTCATCCACTGTGAAATTTCTGCCACTGTTAATTGGCCTTTTTCAAACTAATTTTTTTTAATTATTATTAAGTTTTGTTTCGGATCTCCTAACTGTGATGAATAATATTATAGCACGTTTGGAATGGTCACGGGCTTAAGAAAATGTGACTGATGGTAATGACGATGTAATGCTTGAAGAAATGTCCAAAAGGAAGAACAAAAATAAAAAAAGGGGCTGAATAATTTAGTCCAAAAAGCCCAGGTGGTGGGGTGCGGGTGTGTGGTTTCAGAAACCCATGTTAGGTTAGTGGTGGTGCCTCTAATAAGTCCTCTTAACACGAGTCAAAAAAAAAGAGGTCGCACACACTCACAGTCTCACACAGCTCTCTTTGAGACTGTATGGAAGCAATTATAACTTGTAAGATTGTTCTAAAAATCTAGAAGAAGAAGAAGAAAAGAACAATGTGAAAAAAAAAAAATGTGGATGTATTCTAGGCTGCATTAATTCTTCTCTTTCATCATAAGTCTCTTTCTTTTTCTTCTTCTTTGGTTGTTCCTTTCTATTTTGGGTCCACTTTCGTTTCTGGGTTCTGCTTCGAACATTATGGCATTGCACAAGTTGGTCCTGTTTCTTGGTCTGCTGCTCCTTTCTCTTCAAATGCAACTTCTTCCTACCATGGCTACTTCTGGTAAGTGATTACTACTCACTCACTTTCAGTTTTTACTTAATTTGTGGCTTCGGTTCATCATGTTTCTTCAAACTTCAGGCTTTTTTTTTTTTCCTTTGTTAATGATGTGGACATTTTATGCTGCTAAATTAAGTTGGCCCTTTTAGTCATTATTTGTTTGTGAGTTAGGTTTACTCTTCAGAAACTAAAAGGAAATGAGAATGGGGAACTACTCTCTGGCTGAAATTAGAGGAAAGCTGCCGACTTTTCTTTAGTTACTATGAATTTCATATATTAGATTGTATGAAACCGCTACTGGGAGCAGTCAATCTTATGCTGTCTTCGTCCCCGTTTGGTCTCCCTCTATTGGGTGGAAACAGGAATTTGTCTCATGGAATCAAGACGAAATTATTTTTCTTGTTCTTTGTGTATGTGCAACCAGCTCAGTTGAGGGGCTTTGAGCCCAATAAATTTAATCTAACATGGTTTATTTGTTTAGATAATGTCGTTAATTGAGAGAGGATTTTTCATATTTCCCTTCGTTAGATTAGAAGAACTGAAAAAGCTTTACCGTTCGAGTTTGGCTTCGTTTTGGACATTCTACTTCCCGCTTGTTTCGTTCTATTGTTGTAAATGTATGCTCTTTTCCTTTTTTCAATTTTATTTGGATGCTTTTAATTTTGTAATTGAAGCTTAATGACACGCAAAAATGATTCATTGAGGACCACTTGAAGTTTGTGTTATAATTGAGTTCTCTGGTTCAGTTGCTCAGCCTCACTGCAGTTTTGGGATTCTTCTCTTAGTCCGTCTTATATTTTTTAATGGCCATGTTGATTGCAATCCTGAATCTTGAAGAATGAGCATAAGTTTTGTGAGAGTTTAAAAGTTGATGTAGTGTGGTTGTCCTCTTTTTCCAGATTGTCCATTAGATTTTAGTCAGTCCAATTTTACAACAGCAGCCACGATTTGCTCCAACAAAGAAGACAGAGGAAAATGCTGCCGCTATATTAATGCCGTGGTTGCTGTTTCAGTTGCTCGATATGCAAATGTTACAAGTACCCTGGGTGTTAGTTTGGACACAACAGATGTATGCCTCCGTACGATCACAGATATGTTGGATTTGTATGGAGTACCAAGGAATACAACTGTCTTCTGTGGCTTTGGAACAAAAATCCCTGTTAATTATGACTGTCTAGGTCTAACTACTATAATGCAGATGCGACATTCTCCCAAGTTTGCAGATGTTGCAGAAAATTGTAGAGTGCCTTTAAGATTGGAAAGCGACTGCAGGAAATGTTTGAATTCTGGTATTCTGTATCTACGTAATCTTGTTGGACCAGCAGATAATACAACATTGAGCACATGTAGAGATGCAACCTTTGCTGCACTTGCAAGCAAAGTCGATAATGCGTCAAGTATTGATATTGCAAGCTGCTTTTTTGGGGTCCAAGGGCTTCTTGATGCTCCAGGTATGAATGCATAGTAATGGTTAGAATACCATTTTTACGTCTGCAACGGATGCAGTATTATGTTTAATTAGCTTATCTTTATTTGCTCGTCTTCCATTTCGAGAACTGATGATATTCCCTGAAGTGATGCACTTAACTGATACATTCCTTTCTCTGCGTTATGTTCATCTTTTTTCTGTGTTATTTGTAAAACTTGTTTGTCAGCTTTTCTCTGCGTTATATTTTCATTATCTGTATAAATTGCTTGTTGTCTTTGCGGATATCCTCTAGAAATGTTGTAATTATGCTATTAATCTAAAAAATGATGTTTAATTGTAGTTGAAAAAGAAAAAAAGTTTGAATTGTAGTTTTAGACCATTTGTATTGTAAGCAGAAAGCTTATTTAGTAACCCAGACTCAGGGAAGACATACAAACTTTTAGTTGCTTAGGGGAGATGAAGAGTTATTCTGAATCCACTATTTCCTTATTGTGTCATTCTGAAAGTAGTCCTTGTTGCTATCATGTTTAGACTAGCCTTCTTATATCTATGTCACAATATGGAAGATCAAAGAATAATTCTTCGGGCTTTTACTTCTCGCATTAACCATTTGGTTGTGTTGCCTCTTGGATTTCCAGGATCTTCCCCCCTAGTTTCTCCTGAAGCGCCACCCAGTCCGTCTTCTGCTGATAGCCCAAGTCAGCTCTCTTTGATTGCACCCCTTAAGGATAATCATCGTCATTACCACCTGACATTGGCCCCAGGTATTGGCATAGCTGTTACAGTAGTGGCTATCTTGATGCTGGCTCTCTTGGTTATTCTTATCCGTCGAAAAAACAGAGAGCTCAGCTCTTCTGAAACAGTTGATAAGAAGCATGTCAAATTCTTTCAACGGCCTGCAAGGAAATTTCAGGAAGGTAAGTTACTTATTTCTTCTCTATCACGATATTCAAAATTTTTGGAACAGGTGCTATTACTAGTAATACTACCTGGATTTATTTATCTTGAATGTCATTCGGGTGCATGCAGGACCTCCTTGTACCTTCAGGAAATTCAGTTACAAGGAGACAAAAAAGGCAACAAACAACTTCAGCACTATCATTGGTGAAGGGGGTTTTGGCACAGTGTATAAAGCTGAGTTTGATGCTGGATTGGTAGCAGCAGTAAAAAGGATGAACAAAGTCTCAGAACAAGCAGAGGATGAGTTCTGTAGGGAAATAGAGCTTCTTGCTCGATTGCATCATCGTCATCTTGTTGCTTTACGTGGCTTCTGTGTTGAGAAACAAGAGAGGTTTATTAATTCACGTAAATGTGTATACATGTTCCTTTTCCCCTTTCGATTAACCTTATTAGAGTGGTTTCTTTATGTTTCCATTTACTCCTCCTGGTTAGTTTCCTCCACACCAGCATGATAGGGATTTCACTTATTTAATGTAGGTTTCTTATTTATGAATATATGGCAAATGGAAGCTTGAAAGATTGTCTTCATTGTAAGTCTTCTCATGTTCCAACGTCTCTTTATAAGTATTGACAATACTTGAACTAATCAACCTGTTATAGTAATCATGGATAATTTTTTTTTTTTTGACAAACAATCATGGATAATTGCTTCTTCACAGGTTCTGATAGAACTCCTCTTAGTTGGCACACCAGAATCCAAATTGCCATTGATGTGGCAAATGCTTTGGTACTTTTGTGAATTTCATATAGATTTTGTCTGCAGAAGTTTCATATTATGATCATTCTTCTTTTCTTTGTTTGTTACCTCACTTTTGTTGAAAGCTATTTTCTCTTAATCTTCGTTCTATATTGCTGCTTGTAGGAATACCTTCACTTTTATTGCAACCCTGCTCTATGCCACAGAGATGTCAAGTCGAGCAATATATTGCTTAGTGAAAACTTTGAGGCTAAGGTAAATTCTGGGGTTAGTATCTATAATCCCTTTGTCGAGGTTTACAACTTTATAAGTATAACATAATACAAAGAATAGTAGTCAGTGAAGTATAGCAAAAAGATGTTATGAAAGGTGGTAATTAGTATAAAATACCGGTGAGATGCTTGATATAATTATAAAATCTGTCACGGTAATTTATCGTTTTTGCAGCTTGCAGATTTCGGGCTTGCGCATGCTTCAAAAGATGGTTCCATTTGCTTTGAACCCGTGAACACCGAGATTAAGGGAACTCCAGGTCAGGAAGGGCTTCGTTTCTATTAATTATTTTTATAAAGTAAGGGATAACTCTTGAATAGCCCTAAACCCTAAAAAGTCATGCGACTTTTTCATAATTCTCAGGTTACATGGATCCTGAGTATGTGGTCTCGCAAGAGCTAACAGAGAAAAGCGACGTTTACAGTTATGGAGTTGTCTTGCTAGAGTTGATTACTGCTAGACAAGTGATTCAAGACAACAGAAACTTGGTAGAATGGTCTCAAGTCTACATGACTTCAGAATCGATGATAACTGAGCTTGTTGATCCTAGAATTGGGGATTCGTTTGACTTTGATCAACTTCAAACGGTTTTGACCATTGTCAGATGGTGTACGCAGCGAGAAGGGCAAATGAGGCCTTCAATCAAACAGGTCCTGAGGCTTTTGTACGAGTGTGCAGACCCATTGCATAGCGGATTCATTGAAGGTGTTGAAGACGAAGAGCGTAGTACATTAGATGGAAGGGGAAGAACGAGCAGCAGCAGCAAGCTCATGCCTAGGGATGAGGGGATATTTCATAGTGGGGATGGAAGATTTGCTTCTTCTTCTAGCACGACAAGGTCTCATGGTAGCCGGAGCTTTCTACTCGAGAACAACTCTCCATAGACCCTAATTCCCAACATAGCATCCATCAAGTAAGTATTCGAGGATTGAAATTCATCATTTCTTTAGCAAGTTGGAGCAATGAAGTATATACTCAACTGCATAAGATAAAAGGAGTACCTCAATTGTGGTGCACGAAGCTTCGAAATTTATACCCTCGTTTAGCAGCTACAGATGTGAATAGGATCACAGTAAGCAGTAGTTGTTACATAATCATGATTTTGTATTCATTTTGGCAGTTTTTGGTAAGGCATTTTCGTGAGTTCAAAGTTCAATTTTGGAGAAGCGAGATATAGAGATGGTTTAGATGTTAGAAGAAAATCCTGTGTGCTATTGCTTTTTTAATGCCTGTTTCATTCTGTTTGTTTTCTTGCATTTGGCACCGAAATAAACAAGCTGGTTGTGTATTAGGTATCATATCTTTCCCTCAACTCTGCTATTAGGCCCTTCCTGCTAAAAAAGCATCCTGACAAGTGAAAAGTAAGACGTTTTGTCATCTTTAACTGTAAAAAGGTTTCCAGATTCAATTGAAAAGCTTAAACAAACAAAAAACAAGTTTATACATCCAAGAAAAAGCCGTCTGGTAGAGAATCTAAGACGGCCTTGAAGAAACCTGTGAAAAAACAAAGCCCTTCATCTCTGATTCCAAAGGGCCGTACTTCGCTACAAACATACCATCTTTTCTCTTGTATAAGTGACAACTTCGTTTTTCAACAAGAAGGAGAAAATGAAATTGACACCAACAAACAAGATCAGAAAACACTGGTGTTTTTAAACCATAAAAAACACTTCCAAGAGTCTGCATTCGCCAGTAAGGATGAAGACTTCCTTGTGTTTTTCATTGCTCATTTCCATCAGCTTAATTCATGTTTCAGCAACAGGATTCACATCTTCTGATGTTCGAACTTACATTATTCACATGGACAATACCAAAATACCAGCACCATTTCAATCCCATCACAACTGGTATGTTTCGACCCTTTCTTCCCTTACATCACCAGAAGGTATCCTTCCAATCCATCTCTACACTTACAACCATATAATCAACGGGTTCAGCGCAGCCCTGACACCGTCCCACCTCAAACAGCTTGAGAAAATCCCTGGTCATGTCATCACATATGAAGAAACATCTGGCCACCTTCACACCACTCGGACGCCACAGTTTCTAGGACTCAACGAAAAAACAGGTTCGTGGCCTGAGTCTAACTATGGTGATGACATGATCATTGGCATTGTAGATACAGGGATATGGCCCGAAAGTGCGAGCTTCAATGACGATGGAATGCCTCCTGTTCCAAGCCAATGGCGTGGCGAGTGTGAGACAGGAGTTGCATTCAACTCTTCCAACTGCAACAAGAAACTGATTGGAGCCCGTAAATTCAGCAAAGGGGCGTCGTTTAATTCAACAAGTGACGATGACTATGATTCGCCGAGGGATTTCGAAGGCCATGGAACACATACATCATCCACTGCAGCTGGTAGTAAAGTACCATTTGCTAATCATTTTGGTTATGCAAATGGAACAGCAACAGGAATGGCGTCCAGGGCGAGACTCGCCATGTACAAAGTCCTGTTTACTACTCAAAACTTCAATGCAGAAGCCTCAGATGTTTTAGCCGGCATCGATCAAGCCATTGAAGACGGGGTTGATCTTTTGTCATTGTCATTGGGATTCTTCACAACTCCATTTTACGATGATCCAATCGCCGTGGGAGCTTTTGCAGCGATCGAGAAAGGGATTTTCGTTTCTTGTTCAGCCGGAAACAGAGGCCCTCATGCCTACACTATTCTAAATGGGGCGCCCTGGATCATGACAGTGGGTGCTGGAACCATAGACCGGAATTTATCCGCCCGTGTCAGTCTTGGTGATGGCAAAATTCAGGTCTTTGGAAGATCGATGTACCCGGAAAATCTCTTAGTAGACAGAGTCCCTATTTACTTTGGACATGGTAATCGAAGCAAGGAAATCTGTGACTTTCACACCCTGGATCCGAATGATGTAAAGGGAAAATATGTCTTTTGCGACTTTGATGAACAGGTTACAGTATTTCAACAAGTGAATGAAGTGTTTGACGCCGGAGCTGCTGGAGCAATTTTCAGTTCTGATTTGGGACCATTTATGGAATTACGCGACTTCAGCGTGCCATTCGTGGTGATAAACCCGTGGGACGGAGAATCAGTGAAGAAACACATCATACAATCTGGAAAAACCACGACAGTGAGTGTCAAATTCCAGGTGACATTGTTGGGAACAAAACCAGCTCCTCAGGTGGCTGATTTTTCATCAAGAGGCCCTGTTTTGCATGCGCCATGGACACTAAAACCCGATATCCTGGCGCCCGGCGTGGACATTTTAGCTGCTTGGGCACCAAACAGGCCCAGTGCAACAATTGGAGATGATTATCTCCTCACGGATTACATCCTTGTTTCAGGCACATCAATGGCTTCACCTCATATAATAGGCATAGCCGCATTGCTGAAATCCGTCCACAAAGACTGGAGTCCGGCCATGATCCGTTCAGCCATGATGACCACTGCTGATATTCTCGACAATACAAATAACCCGATTCGTGATATCATCACCCAAGTTGCTGGTACGCCCCTGGATTATGGCGCCGGACATGTTAACCCGAACAAGGCCATGGACCCTGGACTTGTGTATGACATACAAGTTCAAGACTACATCAATTACATGTGTGCATTGAATTACACCACTGAACAGCTCTATACGGTTACCAGAAGGTCTAACATTTCGTGCGAGAACGCGAACCTGGATCTCAATTATCCTTCCTTTATTGTCATACTGAATAATACAAATACCACTAGTTATACATTCAGAAGGGTTTTGACTAATGTGGTCGATGGAAGTTCCTCGTATCATGCCGTGGTTGAATCTCCCGAGGGAATGAAGGTGTCTGTGCAACCATCAAGGATTCAGTTTGCAGGAAAGTTTAGTACTTCTGAGTTCAACTTAACAGTGGAGATTGATTTGGGGGACAATCCAAAGAGTGATTACATTGGGAACTATGGATTTTTGAGTTGGTACGAGGACAATGGGTCACATGCAGTTAGAAGTCCCATAGTATCTGCTATTGGAGCTTGAGGCCATTAAACCACTAGAGAAATTCATGCTGCCATTCTCATGTTATGCTGCCAATTTTCGTTCTTCTTTTTGGGGAATGAATGATTGGGGTTCAATTTCAATTACCCAAAAAAGAATAATTCGTACTTTTTAGTTGCTTAAGGGTATGAAGAGTTTTTGAATCCGCTATTTTCTTCTTCTCATTTTGAAAGTAGTTCTTCTTCTTCTTCTTCCTGTTATTATCTTGGAATGGCTTTGGAATGATGGCTTTGATGATATATATATATATATAATTACTTTCGTTCATTACAGGACTTAAAGGTCAGAAAATTAACTAATCAGCTTCCTGATCAAGAATTAGATAAATTAATGATGCAGAACAACTACTTCACCTATCAATCAAATTTTCTAAATCTAGACTCAACTCTTGATGTTTATACTCTACTTCCACTTAACCTTACCAATATAAGCTGGATGTGGGTTGATCAATTAGAAAAAACATGCTCCCTCCGTCCCATAATTGTTGTCCAGTTCGGGTTTTTATTTCTAGTTCGAATTATACTAAAAATAAAATTTCAAACTGGATAATAATTTTGGGACAGAGGGAGTACTTGTTGGTAGAGCTAGCGAAAAAAGTTTGGATGGTGCACTGTTCGGTGTCTAAAGCTTGTAGAATTAGATGAAGAGAAGGCAAGTTGAAATACGTTTGTGGAAAGCACAACACAAAACAACAACAATGAACCTGTCATCCTTTTTTAACTAGGGTCGATTTCACTTTTTGCTAAAGGTAAAAGAGCAAAAATGTCATTGTGGAAATTCTCCAGCTTCCAAAATTTGACATCCGATAACGTCATTAACACCAAATAAAATCACTTGCGCGCTAATACTGTAACTTTTTGGATGATCGTGGCACATAAGGCCTTGAAGCTTTTGAACGAATGCCCAGACCCATTGCAACGAGGATCCATTGAAGGCATTGAAGACAAAGAGCGTAGCACATTAGATGGAAAGGGATGAACAAGCAGCAGCAAGCTCATGCAGAGGGATTGGAGTATTATGAGGGAGCATTGAAGTGAATTCCGGATAAAGATTTTAAAAAAAAAAAAAAATCCATTTGAGGTGCATGAGTTTCCCAGTTGGCTGCATGAACTTACTCTTGTAACTAAAAATGCCAATAGAATCATAGCAACTAGTAGTTGTAACATAATCACATGATTTTGTATTCATTTTGGAAGTTAATCAGTACCAATGTGAATAAGGCAATTTAATGAATTCTAAGTTAAATTTTTTTTTGTAGATCAGCGAGATATTGATGATCTATAGAGGTTAGATGAAATTCTGTGCGCTATTGTTGCTCAAGTAATCGCCTTTTGAACATTCTGTTTGTTTTCTTGTTTTTTGGACACTTAACAAAGCTGGTGTATTATGTCTCTAAATCTATAGGCCTGTCTATTGTCCTTTCAGAACATTACCCTTTATCTTTTTCCATGTTTGCTTCTGCTAAACAAACATTCCGGCGAGTCCTTTTCAAAACAACATTCCAACAAGTGAAGAGTATCAAATTTGTCTTATTAGTTACCTATAAAATGGTTTCCCAATCTAATTAAAGACTGTATAGATAAACCAAAACTAGGTAAGTCGAGACATTCACTTGGCTTCGTTGCCATCGTTTAGCCTTACTCACTCCATCCGGAAATGATTGTCCGTCAGTGTTTGATGTGATTTTAGTATGATAAATAAAACACAATCATTTTAGGACATAGAACGTACAAGAAAAAGCCGCCGGCCGACAGAGTCTAAAACACCCTAACAGACAACCTATGAAAAACAAGCATGGGAATCAGCAAGCCCATTGTGCATCACTGAATCCAAAGGCCATCCACTTAACAACAAACATGTCATCTTCTCTTGTCAAAATGACGAGATAAATTCCAATAGGAAAGACGGAGAAATTTACCATCGCCAAAGATGACGAGATCAATTTGAAGTTGATGGACCAATCATCTTTGATCGATGTTGTTAAACCCAACAAAATCACACAAACACACGCACAAGGGCTATGATATTGGATCAGAATCCAAAAGAATATTCAACTTACACAAGGCCACATTGCTATAAATACCTCACTTACACAGCACGAGGTCAAAGATACAAAGACTGCAACTGCACTCTCCAACAAAGATGATGAAGTATTTGTGCTTTTCATTGTTTATATGCATCTTTTTGTTCAATGTTTCAACAACAGGATCCACATCTTCTGATGTTCGAAATTACATTATTCACATGGACAACTCAAAATTACCAGCACCATTTGACTCCCATCACAGCTGGTACATTTCAACCCTGTCTTCCCTTTCATCACCAGAAGGCATATCTCCAACTCATCTCTACACCTACAACCATGTGATCAGCGGGTTTAGCGCGGCCCTTACTCCGTCCCACCTTGAAAAGCTCGAGAAAATGCCGGGTCATGTTGCCACATACGAGGAATCATTCGGCCAACTTCACACGACTCGGACACCACAGTTTCTAGGACTCAACCAAGAAACAGGATTATGGCCTGGTTCTAACTTTGGTGATGATATGATCATTGGCATAGTGGACACCGGGATATGGCCTGAAAGTTCGAGTTTCGACGATTATGGAATGCCTCCCGTTCCAAGCCGATGGCGTGGCGCTTGTGAAACCGGAACTGCATTCAACTCTTCTAACTGCAACAAAAAACTGATTGGAGCCCGTAAATTTAGCAAAGGGGTATCCATTAATTCCACCACTCCCGACGACTATGATTCGCCGAGGGATTATGAAGGCCATGGAACACATACATCTTCCACTGCAGCTGGAAGCCGCGTTCCATTCGCTAATTATTTTGGTTATGCCAATGGAACAGCAACAGGCATGGCATCCAGGGCCAGGCTGGCTATGTACAAAGTCCTGTTTAATACTGGAAGCGTTGATGCCGCAGCTACGGATGTCCTAGCCGGCATGGATCAAGCTATTGAAGACGGCGTTGACCTAATGTCCTTGTCGCTGGGATTCTTCACAACTCCATTTTACCAGGATCCAATCGCCGTGGGAGCTTTTGCAGCGATAGAGAAAGGGATTTTCGTGTCGTGTTCAGCCGGAAACAGAGGTCCTCATGCCTATACTATCCTCAATGGAGCACCCTGGATCATGGCAGTTGGCGCTGGAACTATAGACAGGGGTTTATCAGCCCGTGTCACATTTGGTGATGGTGATCTTCAAGTTACGGGGAAATCGATTTACCCTGAAAATCTTTTAGTAGACAGGGTTCCTATTTACTTTGGCAATGGTAATCGAAGCAAGGAAATATGCGGCGATCAAACCCTGGATCCCAATGAAGTTAAGGGACAGTACGTTTTTTGCGACTTTGATGATCAGTTTGCAGTTTTTGGACAAGTGGCTGAAGTGTTTGGAGCCGGAGCTGCCGGGGCCATTGTTAGTACTGATTCGGCAATATTTCTAAAACGTAGCGACTTCAATGTCCCATTCGTGGCGATATCCCCATCAGACGGCGATTCAGTAAAGAAATACTTAACTCAATCCGGGAACACAACATTGAGTGTCAAGTATCAGGTGACATTGTTGGGAACAAAACCAGCTCCACAGGTTGCAGATTTTTCATCAAGAGGGCCGGTTTGGCATGCGCCATGGACACTGAAACCCGATATCCTGGCGCCCGGCGTGGACATTTTGGCTGCTTGGGCACCAAACCGAGGAACTGCAGAAATCGGAGATGATTATCTCCTCACAGATTATACGCTTCTTTCCGGCACTTCCATGGCTTCACCTCATATAGTAGGCATTGCTGCATTGCTGAAATCCGTCCACAAAGACTGGAGTCCGGCCATGATCCGTTCAGCCATGATGACCACTGCTGATATTCATGACAATACGAATAACACGATAATAGACATCATCACCGGAGTGGCTGGTACACCCCTGGATTACGGCGCAGGACATGTTAACCCGAACAAGGCCATGGATCCAGGTCTTGTATATGATATACAAGTTGAAGATTACATTAACTACATGTGTGCCCTGAATTACACAAGTGAACAGCTACATACCGTCACGAGAAGATCCAACGTTTCTTGCGAAAACGCGAACCTGGATCTCAATTACCCTTCATTTATAGTCATCCTGAATCACACTAAAACTGCCAGTTATACATTCAAGAGGGAGCTGACTAATGTCGTCGATGCAAATTGCTCGTATCACGCTGTCCTTGAAGCTCCCAAAGGAATGAAGGCTTCTGTTCAACCATCAACAATACAATTCGCAGGGAAGTTGAGCAAATCAACGTTTGAATTAACAGTGGAGATTGATATGGGAGCCATTCCACAGAGTGACTCCATTGTCAACTATGGTTACTTGACATGGTACGAGGACAACGGGATACATACAGTTCGAAGTCCTATAGTATCGGCCACTGGAGCTGGGCCGTAGGATTACTAAACCAACATAGGACCTCATGCTGCCATTTTTCCAATGTTCAAATTTTTGGCAGATGAAAGGAAGGTTTTGCAGGCATACTTGGTTCAGTCAGCCCCCTCACAGAAATATGTAGGAACAAAAAATCTTGTATTCTTTGTCCCGAAATAATAGTCTTGTTTAGAAATCTATAGTAGACTTTGGGAAATAAGACTAAACTAGTGGAGCATCTTCCATTAACCAAGTAAACTACTGTATGAATATGAAGCTGTTCATGTTAATTTGTGAGTGTAACATGCAGAGATTTGCTGCAATGTTTTTCTGTTTTTTTTTTTTTTGGGCTCATTTTTGCTATGGTTTTTGCAGCGAAAAAGTTGTAGGGGAAAAAAGTATCATATAATATCTGTAAAACTTCCTCAATAGAGGTAATGCTGAGAGCCTGAGACAGATGCAGAAGCAAAAACCACTGACCGTGTATTATCAATGAATCAAATTATGCAATCAATGGTTTTAATTCTCTACATTCTCTAAGAAAATCAAAATGCAGAACTCAAAATTCTTTTGTTTAGTATTGAAATGACCGGAGAAAAAATAGTGCATTTTTTTTTTGCTCGTCTCAGATCAAATTCTTGTTGATCTTGTATCCATTGTAGCCTTTTTCTTTTTTTTTTTTTTCTACAACCGAGTGAGAAGGAATTTCAACTAGTTCGCTGCACTTTGTTGGAGATTTAGCAATGTAGCAAAATTATTTAGATTTTAGAAGATTTTTGCCGGTGCTTTTGCTGTTGTAGTGTCTTTTTCATTGTTTTTAAGTTTCTTGTTTCTTGCTATGAAACTAGCGATTGTATGTATCTTTAGCAACAATTTTCTCTTCCTAGTTAATTATTAAAAAAAATGCTCCCCGAATTTGTGGGAACATACAAGTATGGGTTAGCAACCATCAATGATTCAGTTTGAAGGGAAGTTTAGCAAATCTGCGTTCAACTTAACAGTGGAGATTGATTTGAGGGACAGACCAAAGAATGATTACATTTGGATCTATGGATTTCTGACTTGGTACGAGGACAATGGAATTTTCCTTAAATATATTTCCTTATATATATTTGGAAAAAAATAAACCTTCCAAAAATTTTGTGGACAAACTTATATCTTGGATTTCAGAAATCCGAATTAGGGGTAAACTCGGATTTTCGAAATTCGAACCCCTTTAAATTCAGATGAGGAAAATCCGAATTTGTGTTATGTAAATCCGATATTAAGTTAATGACAGAAATTAGTGTAATTAATTTAAATCTGAATTTTCCAAATCCGTATTTACGAATAAAATATTAATTTTCGGATAGAAAAAAATATGTGTTGAAAAATTAAATTTTAGTAAATCCGGATCACGGTAATCTGAATAAATGTAAATGCGGATTACCGTAATCCGAATCTGATCTGTTTTCTGCAAACTGGTAACTCCCAGTTGGCTACATATTCGGATTTGCGAAATCAGAATCTTTTACAAAAAGTCTGGGTTCGGATTTCGTAAATCCGAGTCTATGTCAGAACTGAAAAAAAAAGTTGGACTGATTTTACCAGTCCAAAACCTGTTTACAGCACCGACAATAATGAAACATTGGAAAACCGAAATTTAATGGCTACAAAACAATAAACGGCATTCGATTAACAACGAAACAAATCAAATTTCAAACCAAAATCAATACAAAAACTACTGTAAATGTGCAACATATATCAAATGTCTCATTTTTTTCCCTTTTCCTTTATTATGTGCATCCGGAGTGTATTTATTTGGGCCATGCCGGTTCCTGTCTCCCCTCTTAAGATACGTGAGTATTGAACCCTGTTGTTGACGCGGTTAGGGTTGGGATTGGGACTCCCCCATGGTGAGAAATAGGACTCCCGGTTGTGGTTGCGACTGTCCATTAAACTGAGTCTCGGATCCACCAAGGTCAAACTGAGTCTCGGGTCTACCAATGTCTTCAAATTGAGTCTCGACCTGGATGTGCGAACATTGAGAAGAATGTGCTTGATCCTCATTTTGTTGACCCTCAGTTTGTTGATGCAATGTCCGAGGGGGGATTAGAACCTTTCTCTTTCTTCCTCCTCCAATCTTATCTCTCGACCACGGTTTCGCTTTTTTACCCGGCGGAGGTTGTGAAAGCAAAGATGGTTCTTCATGAACCAGGATTTGGGTATCCTCTATGTCCATCTCATCATTTGCACCCAAGGTTAAAGCAACATGTGTTTAATTGATGATATCGTTCAAATGATTGTCAATTTTTTCGTCTAGGAGATTCTCATCTTCTCGTTTTTCTCTAAACTTCTCAGAACTCACACGAATATTGTTCAATACTTCACCCTGAAAAGAAATTGAGACGTTAATTAAGAGAGTAAAATTCAAAAAAAAAATAAAAGGAAAACATAAGAAATAAAAAATATACATATAGAATGAACTCACATATAATTTCACTCGGCTCGAAGAAGTCTCGTATCCTTGAGGTTCATAATTTTTGGGATTGGATATCAGCCTGACAGTGTTCACCATGAACCATTCATAGTACCCCTCATATACGGAGCCAGGGTCTCCTTCCTCCAAATCTCGTAGCACGTACTCTTCTCTCCTATTCCAATGACGACGTACTGCGGAATGGTGATCCACCCAATTGTTGCTAGGATACTCAGACATACTGTAGGCGTGATCGAGAAGAAATGCTGCGTTATCTTTAATCATAGGACGCTTGGGAACATCCTGTATGTATCCAAATTGTCTCACAACTCTGCCCGACTCGTGGGGTTCCCTAATAGCCCAACAGAACATCCAACACCTGGTCGTCCAAATGGCTTGGCCTTGTTTACAGAAATCAGGGAGTCTATGAAGGACCTTTGCATATGGTTGCCACCGAAACTGCACGAAAAGAATTTATTTAGATGGTATAACCGGAAAGAAAAGAAATTCAAAATAAATATAAATACCAAATTAAGTACTTACATCTTCAACACGCAGGCTTGTTAATTGATCTCTAAAAGGTGGGGTGCTGCTCTTTAGGGCGTCTCTGTAGGTGTACCTACATTCCCACTTTAATGAACAAACACGAAGGGGTACATTTGAATTAGTAAAAAAGATAAATAAGAAACACATAGAAATAAACATTGAGTTATTTTGAAATGAAAATACGTACCGCTAAGCTAATGTAGCGGGTCATCAATCAAATAATCTACTCCTTTTCTTTGTGGCGCTATTCTCTCGATCCGCTCATACGCCCATACCTAGTAAATTTCAATAATAATGTTAAAACTTTATATTATAACGTCGAAAGAAAAAAACCAATTATAACACCAATTGAAAACTAATACGTACCTGTAGCAAATATAGACAGCCAGTGGCATCGTGCATGGTGTACTGTGATGCCTCGCACAGTCCAGAATACAAACCAGCCAGCAGTGCCGATCCCCAACTGTATCGACTACACTGATTCAAATCCTCAACCTGGGCCAAGAACTGCAGATTGACAGTGTTTTGCGTCTTGTTAGGAAACATGAAACTGCTAATAAAATGCAGTATAAGTGTCCGGACCTTTTGCTCGAATCGCTGGACTGTGGAATTCTCAGGGAGTGCACGACCCATCTCATCCTCGAAAATACCAACATTGACACATTGGCCATTTACTTGGGCTGGCTGGAATCCCAAATAAGTCTCACATCGACCCCGCCATTCATCTGCACTCCGACTAACTGTCGTCCCGTACACCGGGTCACCATCCACCCGAATACAAAAGAGGATCTCGACATCCTGTAGTGTCACAGTCGCCTCTCCGAAATTGAAATGAAAAGTTTGGGTTTCTGGCCTCCACCGTTCCACCAACGCGGTAATGAGACCGAGATCCACTCTTTTGTAGTCTACTTTCATTATCCCGTCAAAATCGGATCTCTTAATGACTTCCTTAACCTCCGGTGCCGTATCTTTGTATATCTCCCAAAAATCGCCATCGTATCTATGGCCCTTGAGGTGGAATGTTTTAATGTTCTGCATCTTGTTCTCATATACAGCTTGGGACCTATGCTTTGTTTGACGATATAGTATTTTATCTTGTATCGGCCCCGGGTGAAGATGTTTAGATTGATATTCATATTGCGAGCCCGATGCCTCCTCCGCCTATTCAATCCTACACAAGGCAACCAAAGAAAACATCAATGCCCTAACTCATTCGGCCAAAAAAAAAAAAAATAACTACATTCATAATCGCAAATGCAACCGGTAAAATGTGCTTGTTTACGGTATATACCACCGCAATAAGAAATTTACCCTTGTATCCACCACGCAAGAAGGTTCCATCGATACAAATGACAGATGGACATTCAAGAAACGTCGCAGCCACTGGTGCAAATGACCAGAAGACGTATTTAAATGTCCTATTTCCCCTGTTCAAACCTTCTTGTCCCTTCTTCCATTCCCACTCTACTACACTCTCAGGATTAGTAAACTTAAGCGCAGCGATATACCTACACAACAAACAAGTCATAGTTAAAATATTTCAATACATGTAAAAAAAAAAAACACTAAAAATATTTCAATACACGGATAAAAGTTGATATTTACCGTGGAAGTTCTTCGAAATTCGAGGTCCAATTACCATAGACCGCTTCTATGGCTTTCCTCCTCCCGTGCCACGCCCTTTTGACAACCTTTGTTCGACAAACAAACCATCATCCGGCATATTCGAAAAAGTGTTGATGCTACCGTTCTCTATCACATACTTGCTTGTATGAAACAAATTAAGCATGTATGACACATTACGTGCCATTGATAACTGTTTAAAAAAAACATTAATATCTAATCATTTCTTAATAACAAAATCAACAAATACACCATACATACTCCATTCATAATTCAAAAAACCTATAAAATACTAAAATACTTATAAATCAACTTCCATATCTCATAAAAAATAACTATGATTTCTCATCTCTAACCTCAAAATCAATACCTAAAACATCTAAACAACCAACCAACATAAACCCTAATCTATCATACATCATTCTAACAATCAAAATAACGCAAAACTAAACTAAATAACATGGTTTTGCAATCTAACCTCTTTCAAATAACGATTCCCACCTATCTACAGGCAAGAATGCATCAAAAGCTCCAATTCGCCCTTGTTTGAGCTGCAAAAACAGAAAATCCAACTCAGTTCTCGAATGAGAACTATCTGAATTTTTTTTTCTTTTATAGCACGATAAACTCGGATTTCCAAAATCCGAGCCCGTAAGTAACTCGGATTTTCGAAATCCGAATTACGGTGGACCCGGATTTCCGGAATCCGAATTCGGTCACTTCCGAATTTTTTTATTCATTTTGGTCTCCAATTTATTGCACATGCCTACTCCACCAATCAAAATTAAAAATAGTCAGATTTCCAAAATCCGAATACAAAGAACCGGATTACAAACTTCCGGTTTTTTTATTCAAAAATTTCTCGCCTTGATTTTCTTTTTTTCTTTTTTCTATTTGAAAACTCGGATTTTGTAAATCCGAGTACTATTGTTTATTTAAGGAGTCCAAGTCCTGGGTTCCTTATTTGAGTTCAAATATTTCGCGCCTCAGTTTCTTATTTTTTAATTAAATTCAGATTCCGCAAATCCGAACGGCACTATTTATTTAAGAATTTTTAAAAACTATTATTCAACAAAATTATTTAATTATTATTTTATTATTAAATGGAGTTCCGGATTTCCGAAATCCGAATCGTTAATTTTAATATTTCTGTCCACAAATATTTTAAAAAATTTAAATTTGTCCACGTTTATTTTAATTAATTTTTTTTGGAAAAAAGCCCGAGGACAATGGGACACATGCAGTTAGAAGTCCAATAGTGTCAGCCTTTGCAGCTTAAGGCCTGATAACCTAGAAAATTATAGCTTGTATCTTCTTTGTGCAAAGTAAATTTGCTGGAAGAAGCTGTGTTCATGTTAATTTATGCTTTTTCTGAAAACAAGCAGACTTTCTGCAATTTCCCATTGTGTATTTTTAGCCTTGGAATTTGTGCCTAGAAGCCAAAAATGCCTAAAAGTTGCACAAATACACCCCAAACAGAAAGAGTCGCATAGACAGTAGTCAGAAAATGAATATTATGGACTTAAAACTCTTTACATGATGCTAATGCTATGACATCCAAAAGCAAAGCCAAAGTGTGTATTTTCCGACCAACTTTATACAAAAAGTTCGTTGATTCTCTACATTCTTGTAAATTGCAAAACGCAGAATATGAAAATCATATCATTGAAGCGAAATATAAAGGCAGGCAGAAAAAATTACTGCACTTTTTTCGCTTGTCAAGGAAATGAATGAAGATCCATGTCCTTTGTGGAATCACCAGTGCAGCAAATGGTAAGTTCATAGTCTTTCCACCAGAACAGTTACTATGAGTTGAATACTTACTGAACCAAGTTCGACTAACTGAGCAGATAATGGATTTCTGGAAACTACGACAGAGCAGAGTATGGATTCTCAGTAATTACACAGAGGCAGCAACTCAAGCCGTATCCGCACTGGAGTCACATATTCAGGAACAACCTCTGTTAACAGTTTAATTTCCCGAACATGAGACGCCTAGAGAAATGCAGACAAAAAAGAAAAACTGATTAGATGGTGAAAGATTTTAAATGGAAAAACAAAATCGGTAGAAGTGTTCCATGTAACGGACTGCAGTAACTCACACCAACTATATCATAATGTTGAAAGTCATCACAGTGTAAGCACTAAATGCAGTGGTTGATGAACATAAATATCACAAGAGACTTTGTAATTTAATAAAGGCCGCTTCAGGACTTGGAGCCAGGTGAATTAGTTTCACTAAATGGCATACATAAAGTGATTCCTGAACAATTCAGAAGACCCAGGCAAAAATATATTTGAGAATCACAATCATTAATATCAAAATTAGCATAGTCATAACGCATTATTATTTTGCACAGCATCACATTGACCAGGTCTAAAGCTAAAAGAGGTATCTGCACAATGGTATGAACAACTAGCAACAAATTCAGAATTCCAGATTAATATGGTATACTCTAAGCATTAAAAAAAAATACTAATAAAAAAATCAATTAAATGCATTGACCTTAAAAGGAGGGAGCAGAAAGTTAACACCATAACAGAGAAACCGACCTCAAAAAAAAAAAAAAAACAAATACAGGTACAGAACAGCAAAAAAGCATTGTAAATCAGAAAAAGGCATAACCGTATTTTTTTGATTACCTAAAGTAACAGCAAAACCAAGAGGACAGCAGTGACCATACCTTAGATGTGAACCATAGTTGCACTAAAAGGTAATAACCATCAGGGCACTCAAGATGTAACAGTTTTAGCCACCGGCAGCGACAAGAAACTTCCTTTTGCTCACAGGCTCCTCTTGCAGCACAACCACATCTTTAACTTTCTCAAGAAGCTCTTCCAGCACATTCACACCAAAACTCTGATAATCTAGGGGCCTCTTGTATCTTTGCTCATATATTGCTTCAAAACAACCTAGGAAAACTCGGCAAGAGTAACTAACCAGAATTTCTTGAAGTTCATACTTAAATTTCGAGATGCTTAGGTCAACAATTTGTGAATGAACCGGTGTTCCCATAGTGGACTGCTCTCCTGCCTTATCCTTCAGTTCTACGCCAACCCTCTCCTCATCAGAACACTCTTCCGAAGATCCTGTACCAGCTGCAAATTCAATGGTATCCTCCTGAGCGATTTTTTCTTTTCTTTCCCTTCTCAGCAGTACAAATGAAGGCGGACTTTGTCCAGTTCTCGTGTTCCGAAGATAGACAAATCTCTTTTGGCCTTTACCCTCCACAGAGAGTGCATCAGCCATCTTCTTTATTAGATTCACAAGCTTAGGTGCCCCATACTCTGAAATATAAAAAGGCCTGCCATACATCTTCTGGTATTCTGCAGGAATACGAGTAAGAGGCAAACACCCACCAGATAACTGAAGCATCTTTACTAACTGGCCCTTCAAACCATTCAAATCTCCAGGCTGTACCCAGCTCAAATCATTTTGGTCACAAGGAGCACCTAAAACTTCATTTATAGCGCAGGGTAGACTATTGGACCTTGATGACGTGTGATAGTTAGGGACAGAAACTGAAGCACTGTTATATTCAGAAAATGACTGTGATACCATTGAGAAATCACGTGTATCATAAAGCTTTTGAGAAATTCCTCTATAAACTATAGCCTCCTCTTCATTAGGACCATCAGCATTACCAGTTATATGACATCCACGAAAAACTCCAGCTAGGTCTTTTGGATTAGCACGAGAGGGAGTATATGCCTTAGCAGGGGGCAGAAACCCTTCACCTCGAGCAACACTAGGCCAGTCCCACACAAAGCTCCCAGCATTGGAAAGAGCAGATGAAACACCTACATTAGCAGGGATAACCAGAATAACAGTGTACCCACGTTGGCCAAGAATATGAAGGGCAGGAGCAAAATCAACATCTCCCGAAATCAACATGATGGAAGATGGTGGAGGATTGTCAAGAGCAAAGAGGAACATATCAACCAAGATTGCCTTATCTGCTGCGTCCTTCCTTCCATTAGGGACATCTATGAGTTTAACTCCAGTCCTCTGGCAGCCCTCCCTTAGTCTTCTAGGAAAGGCGTTAAAATCTCCATAAGCAGAAAACATTGTGACTGCTCCCTTAATTACAGGATGGACACGTAGCGCCATTCGGATGTTACCGGCAACATCTTCAGGCCGTACATCACTAGGGACAGGACAGTTTTCTATGTCCCAAAGTATAGCAACATGATCCTGGGGTAGATTTCGACTTTGCTGCAGTGGAGATGGTAATGAGTTCATATTCGCACTTGCTACAGATTTCCCTGTTTTTTCTAAGCCTTCTGGAGACATGAACGATGGTGTGCTAGGATATTCCATTCGATCCAAAGACAACAATGTGATTCCCAACTCCCTGAAAAGAAGAATTGCTGAATTAGAAAATGAGGTAAGTGTCAGATATCAGTAAACAGCAGCTCAATTAGCATTACTGACTCACAACTATCGAATAACCATACACACCATTGCCCATTTGGCTAAAAAAAATGAGAGAGAGAATGCAAACAATCGGGTGGAAGTGTGGCCAGAGTAGAACTATCAAGTGCAATTGCATAAAAACAATAAGGTATGTCAAAAACAACAGCAATATGAAGAAAATGGCAATTTTATGAGTCATCCACCCCCTCCTTCGGCACCATTTTCAGCTATATTATCAAAACCAGATCAATATTCCCAATCACAGTCGTTTCAAATATGCTATACCCCATTTTGTTTATATTGCCATGGATGAGAGTCACTGGTCCACTTAGCATATCAAATTTCACAACGATGCATATCAAATTTCACAATGATGATCAAGGAAGGAGAAAAAAACTCCTAATCCCAACGATGATCAAGGTAAAAACTCCTAAGTAAAGCAGACAAATAATGAAAACGGCAAAATTAAACACAAGCAAAGCCAAAAAAACAGAAGGGTTCCACGTATATGTATCGGATTAAATTCCAATCACTCTTCTATGATTGAAATCAATATTTGAGTGTTCATAAAGACAAGCATCTATTTGCACCAAAAAAAAAAAATTCAAAAAAAAAGAAAATCCGCAAGCGCAGATCATCGATAACCCCCGATAAGCCAAGAAAAAAAACTTCCAATCACCTCAAACCCTAAAATTACAAACGAATTTCAACATACAGAAAATCAAAAACCGGAAAACCCAGAAAGCACGAAAAAAGCAGAAATTAAAAAAGAGGGAGATATAGAAAGATAACCTGTAAGATGAATTGAATGAAACTATGAGCTGGGAAGTCAAGAAAAACTTCTGCTCTTTTAATCAAATTCTACTGTGGAGTCAATGGATAATTGTTCCTTTTTCAGAAACTGCAAAAGACTAATCTAAATTCCTAAGCCGCCATCACTGAGATATTGAATTTGGGTTGCTTTTTGCCGCAGCAATCAGTAGAGAGAGAGGCTGTGCTTCTGAGTTCTGACCAACTAAGAAACCGACATTATTTTTTCTGTAACAAAAAAAGAGAGAGAAAACAATGTAAAACCGACCTTGAAAGGATGAAAGACTTTTGCCTTTTTTAACTTTTGGCTAACGTTCCAGACACCGGCCTTTTTTTTTACTGTATTTTTGGGTTTCTTTTTTTTGGCCTACTACTCTCTATTATTACATATTTCGCCCTCCAATTTATGTATATTTATTATTTATTACCTTGTTTCACTATTTACTTTGTCCCTTCATTTGTGGAATTTTTTCCTTAAATATATTTTCTTATATATACCTGGACAAAAATAAACCTTTCAAAAATTTTGTGGACAAACTTATATGTCCCGGATTTAAGAAATCCGAATGGGGGTAAAACTCGAATTTCGAAAATCCGAACCCCAATAAACTCAGATTATAAAAATCCGACTTTGTATTACGTAAATCCGATATTAAGTTAACGACAAAAATTAGTGTAATTAATCTAAATCCGGATTTTATAAATCCGTATTTTTGAATAAAATATTAATTTCTGGATAGAGAAGAAAAATGTGTTGAAAAATTAAATTTGGGAAAAACCGGATCACGGTAATCCGAATATACGTAGACTTGGATTACCGAAATCCGAATATCCTCTATTTTCTGAAAAATGGGGACTCTCAGTTGGCTACAGACTCGGATTTCCGAAATTCGAATCCTTTACAAAAAGTCTAAGTTCGGATTTCGCAAATCCGAGTCGTTGTCAGAACTGAAAAAAAAAATTGGACTGGTTTTCACCTCAAAAAAAAGTCTGAGCTCGGATTACGGAAATCCGAGTCTCCCCTGTTTCTCTTCAAATTGCAACTCTCGGATGGTTTTCTCAAAGTCGGATTTCCGAAATCCGAGTCCTTTGCAAATTGAAAAAAAAAGTCTGAGCTCGATTTCGGAAATCCGGGTGCTTTAGAAAACCTTAAATGTGCTGAGTATTTTGCATAATCCCAAAACCTGTTATGAAAAACTACTACATAGTTCATCACACTTTACAATCCGAACAATTCAATGTTCACATTACAATCCGAATTTATCAATGTTCACATTCAAACACTAAATGACTCTCAATTCCAGCTGTCATTCACAGGTCTTCTATCTACTCCTGGGTGAGAGAACGGACAAGAATTGGCATCATGACCTAGTTGTCCACATCTCCAACATTCCCCCCGGCTCTGGCGTCCCCTGTAATCCATTTGCATTCTATGTCTCCTTTTTTGTCTTCGTCCCGGTCCCGCATGCAACACAAGACGCTCATAATTCGAAATGATGTTCCAATTGACCATCGGCCATTGTTCCTCATAGGGAACCGGAACAAAGCCCGTGTAATCAAATTGTCTGCGCCACGTTGGAAGGCGCCACACACTATGGTATAGATTAATAGGCCGATCCCCTTTTCTCCGACAAACTTGGAGTGCGTGCGGACAAGGCATCCAGTACTTTTGCAACTTCCTGCACGAACACCTATGTTCATCATAGTTCACCGTATACAAAGACCCACCCCTGCCACTTAGGCGTGTTGCAGTAACAACCTGCCACTTAGGCGTGTTGCAGTAACAACACGCCACATAGCATCATCACCATCGAAAGGGGTGGCTTCAAAACTAGCTGCTTTGTCGTTCATTTTCTCGTATTTTTTCCATAACTCAGGAGGGATCGGTGTCATGCAATTTCTCGCAGACAATTGTTCTTCTCTGTAGAATTTAACAGTTTTGCGAAAGGTTGCATCGATCAAGGCTCTAATTGGTAAAAAACGGATCCCTTTCAACGCATTGTTGTGACTCTCAGAAATGTTGGTTGTCGCTATGCCCCAAAGCGAAGACCGGCTTTCAATCGAGCCCAATTACTCCCTCCAATCCCTCGAAGATACTCCCATGCAGCAGGTTTGAATTCAATAAGCTCTGCCCTCATACGGTTGTATTTCACTCTTGAAAGCGTCGTGCCCATCTTCCAACATAACCGCTTCACCTTTTTGCTATTATATCGCGACACAAGATTGCTGCGAACGTGGCGGAGGCAAAGAAAGTGGCCACCATCACCTAAATCACGCCATTCATCCATCTGTGACATTGTGCTCAACAACTCTGCATTCCGGTCGGATATCACACTTACGATTCTATCATACACAACCCACAACCTCAAATTTCTCATAAAAAATGTCCAACTCTCTACTGTCTCCTCATCCACAATCGCAAATACAACCGGTAAAATGTACTTGTTTACGGTATAGACCACCGCAACAAGCAATTTACCCTTGTATCCACCACGCAAATGACCGGTGGACATTCAAAAAACGTCTCAGCCACCGGTGCAAATGACCAGAAGACGTATTTAAATGTCCTATTTCTCCTGTTCCAACCTTCTTGTCCCTCCTTCCATTCCCACTCTACTACAGCCTCAGGATTAGTAAACTTAAGCGCAGCGATATACCTACACAACAACAAGTCATTGTTAAAATATTTCGATACATGTAAAAATAAAAACACTAAAAATATTTCAATACACGGATAAAAGTTGATATTTACCGTGGAAGTTCTTCGAAATTCGAGGTCCAATCACCATAGACCGCTTCTATGGCTTTCCTCCTCCCGTGCCACGCCCTTTTGTATGGCACATCTACTTTCAATAAGGTCTTCGCATCTTTCTGTGCCGAAGCTACCGTATAATCTACGTTGTCCTCAACCTTTCTCCTGATGAGTCTAGCAATCAAAGACGCATCCACACACCGATTGTCATTATCATTCACGGGAGTCATGCAATTATGTGCATCATGCCATCTCACAATTTCATGAAGGCCGTGAGCTTTCAATGACACACGCATCTTCCACTCACATGGTGGTTCACCATCCTCACTTTCCACATTAAATGTTCTGCACCGCACAGCCCACGTCGTTGGATTACTCGCGGCGACCGTATATTCCCTTTTATGATGGATGTTCCATAATTTCACAGTATGTTTTGCTTCTGATTGAGATTTGAAAAAAACACCAATGTCCATTCCTTCGGGCGTCTCATCCCACATCTTAAGAGCAAACTCATCCTTGTCCACACATGAGGCATCCCAGTTCCCCATCTTACTATATACATGACGTCGGGCCAATGGATTACAATCCCTTTCCTCATTTTCTAACCTTTCATCATCACTTTCTTCAAAATCACTCTCTCCGGAGACATCACAGTTTTCTTCGCTTTCACTTGGAGCTATGTAGTCGGAATCCGACTCTTCCCGGTAGTCATCTTGTGCAAATAAAGGTGTCTCCTCTTCATCACCGTTTCGAGAAGTACTAGCACGTTCCCCCCTTGGAAAACCACCAAATGACACGTTGTTTTCCAAACTCGCTTCTCTTTCTTCTTGAGTGATATCTTCCAAATCTATGTATAAATCCAAACATGACATTGGATCTACACGGTTCATGAACTCTACATGCGAATCATTCTTGATCTTCACTACACGCCTACCACCGGGACTATCGAAAATCAAAGAAAGGTGGAGTTTCACGTGTGCTGGATCCCACCAAGTGTCATACAAATCTTACTAATCAATCCCTCATATGACAACCTTTCTTCGACAAACAAACCATCATCCGGCATATTCGAAAAAGTGTTGATGCTACCGTTCTCTATCACATACTTACTTGTATGATACAAATTAAGCATGTATGATACATTACGTGCCATTGATAACTGTTAAAAAAAACATCAATAACTAATCATTTCTTAATAACAAAATCAACAAATACACCATACATACTCCATTCATAATTCAAAAAACCTATAAAATACTAAAATACTTATAAATCAACTTCGATATCTCATGAACAACTATGATTTCTCATCTCTAACCTCAAAATCAACACCTAAAACATCCAAACAACTAACCAACATAAACCCTAATCTATCATACATCATTCTAACAATCAAAATAACACAAAACTAAACTAAATAACATGATTTTGCAATCTAACCTCTTTCAAATAACGATTTCCACGTATCTAGAGGCAAGAATGCATCAAAAACTCCAATTCGCCCTTGTTTGAGCTGCAAAAACAGAAAATCCAATTCAGTTCTCGAATGAGAACTGCCTGAAATTTTTTTCTTTTATAGCACGTTAAACACGGATTTAAGAAATCCTAGTCCGTAAGTAACTCGGATTTTCGAAATCCGAATTACATTAGTTTCGGATTTCATGAATCCGGATTTAGTCAATTCATGATTATTTTATTCATTTTTTGGTCCTCCAATTTATGGCACATGCCTACTTCCACCAACCAAAATTAAAGGCAACCGGATTTCCAAAATCCGAATTCATAGAACCGGATTACGGACTTCCGGTTTTTGGATTCAAAAATTTCGCGCCGCGATTTATTAATTTTTAATTAAAGTCGGATTTCGCAAATCCGACCTTCACTGTTCATTTAAGAATTTTTAAAAACCTATTATTCAACAAAATTTATGTAATTATTATTTTATTATTAAATATAAACTCGGATTTGCAAAATCCGAATCTTTAATTTTAATCAGAACTCGGATTCCAGAAATCCGAGGAATATAGTTCTGTCCACAAATATTCCGAAAAATTAAATTTGTCCACATTTATTTTAATTAATTTTTTTTTGGGAAAAAGCCCTTCATTTGTGACTATAAAAAACATTAATTAACTTTTTCACTTCTAATCTAAGTGATGTGATTAATTCATTTTGTGAAATATATGTTTTTTCTAACAATATATATATATATACCAATATTTCAACTTAAAAAATAAAAGAGGGTTTTTTTTTTTTTGAAAGGACTTACGAATACTTGAAGAGTGAGCAAGGGTGGAACCACGTTGGGGTTCGGGGGCTCTTGAGCTCCCTCGACCGACCGAAGACGGCCAAGTTTGCCTTTTGGCCAGAATCCCTAAGGGTTCTTGTCCTTGCCTCAGCCCCCCGAACGTGAGTGTGTGGCAGCTTTACAAAAAGGTGAAGACAACACTCTTTGAGGTTGGGTGTTCTATTTTAAGATTTTGAGATTTTTAATTTTGAGATTTAAAGTCACCGGCGGGGAAGAGAGTTGCAGCGAGGGAATGGGAGAAGAAGATGATGACTTGATTTTTTTTTCTAACAACTTAATACATTTCAGTATTGATCTTAAACTTTTTAAATATTATAAAGATTACCCGATACCACTTAAAATTGCTTCTCGTTCCCTTTGTGTTAAAAATTATAGCCCTTAATTATTCAAAAATATAAAATTTAACTCAATAAATTTAATGATACAACCAATATCGTTGAAAAATTCCTAAAAATCGCGAGCCCCCCAAATATCATAAGTTGGTTCCAGCACTAAGAGTGACTATCAAACTGTGTTTGCAATTAACTTTCTGCGTCGTTAAGTATCTGAAATCACTCTCCATTGTTAGAATCCCTATTCTCATTTCCTTGAAAATTTTCAATATTGTAATATGATCTAGTTCTTTGGCATGTTTATCTGGAAATTTAGAGAGCATACAATGCACATTCTCAAAAACAAACCTTTCCAATCTAAGAGCACCACCATATTTTGTAGACTTCTTTTCATTTGAAATCTGACATCAAGAAATCATGTACTAAATACTGAACAATTTCTCAAGTCTGTACAAAAGATGAACAATACTGTATGTATCTGAACAGCATGCATCTGGATTCTGGATGCTGATTTGAGACCATTCAACAAAAGCCAAGTTATCGAAGAAAATATCTGGGATGACTACTAATGCTACACCTAAATTTGAACACTACTCCTGGTCCTCCTGGATGATAAATGATTGCACCATCAATAACGATGACTCTATGAAGATATGACCCTTTCAATGGCAGCAACATAAAACTCCTTAGGCATGGTGCCGATGACGGATTCACGTTTCTTGCCATTTTTAAACAACAAAACTACTGGTACAGCCTTTACGTCATAGTCCTCTGCAATTCCCACATCCTCATCAGCATTCAGCACGAAGCAATTCAACTTTCCAGCATAATCTGTGGCTATCTCATCTATTACCCGGTGAACCATCCTGCATGGTCCACACCAACTGGCATAGAACTCCACGAGTACTGGTGTGTCGCTGTTCAGAACCATTTTGTCCCATGACTTACCAGTGACCACCACAGCTGCGGCAGTTAAGAGAATAACATGTTAATTTCAAAAGTTCCTCTATGATTTTGTCTCTGGCAAATCTTCATACCAAATGAGCAACGAAAAAGCAGTTCACAAATAACTTTTTGACAACCGATACTTGGGGAGCAGTTAACAAAACCATGCAAGTCCTATGGTAATATATTGAGAATTATTTAGGCAGGCCTCTTAACAGATTATGGCGGTAGATGTTGTTTTGTACCATTATTAGAAGAAGTTGGGAATTTATGGACACCTGCATATCAAGAAAGTTATCCGAAACCATAAGAACAAGCACAAGCGGTGAAAATTAAGAAACCACACAAGTGAGTATGGACTATAATTGATGCACTCAACTTCTTACTGATAATGGTCGCGAACTACTCACAAATGATTGAGAATATTACCGTATTATGTGAAAAACTTTTGCACAAATTAAGAAACAACAAGGAAAATTTCAGGAAATGACTGACTTAGTTACATCATTTGCAATTGTAGCTTAACAACTAGTACAGAAACTTTTTGAGGTCATATACACTTCGAATGGTTTCCTAAAAGAAAAACGCATCTTTAGGGCTTCAGCCTACTCCCTCAGAACTTAAAAGAATGCTCAAGCAAAGCCATTCCAAATGCATTTCACAAGTGCCCTTATTTGCAGTATGGAAAGCTTATTAAAGCTAAGTATATATTAGCATGGCCTCCTACAAGACAAATGCATCTGTAGGTGTTCAATTCACCCAAAAAAAAATCAACTGCAGCATAATTGTCTAATGTTCAAATCCAAAGTAGACAAATGCCCACCCCTTTCTTAGTTGACAGAAAAGCTCTTTCACAACTACAGAGATATGCATACTGGAGTAAAGTTTAGCTTTGTTTAACTCACATCCAACGGGTTGTCAAGTCACTGTAATCCCTAAAATTTAGAACATAATGAAGGTTCAAGCAGCATCCGTGATTACATAATTCATTGGATAAGTAAATGATGAATAGTGCAGATTGCCAAAAATGAAGACATTTCCAGTAATTTCCTTCCAACAGAAACACAACAGAAGAATATTGCACAAATAAAAAATTAGTAGGAAGTAACTTACACTAAAAGGGGAAACAAAAGTCAAAAGATATATAATTGTTTGAAATATAAGAAAATATGCCAGGAGCAAGTCACTAACCACTAAAATATGCCCCAAAAAGAAAACAGAAAGTCGTTATATTGTAACAGGAAAAGAGATTTGAATCTAGTTCCAATAATAAACAGCTCCCATTTCTTTAGAAAACCAATGCAACAACAAAGAAACTAACATAGCTTGCAATAAAACAGGAGGTAGTATTTGATGTTAGCATGATTGCTTAAATGATAAAAGAAAGTAGATACCGAAAGAATTTGTTTGAACTCGGCATAGGGAAAAGAAAGCTTAAAGGACATTGAGATATTGCAGAAAAAAGGCTCTGCATACAGATATGCATGCACATGATAACAAGACATTGACGAGGTTGTACGAAATCCGCCGAGCTTGGTATGCACGTAGGGGGACTAAAGAAACGCCCACCGGAAGCGTACATTAATAAACAGGTACAATCAAAGCAATTTCTTTTACAAAGATAGAAACACTGAAAGGAAAACAGAAGAAACGAATAAATTCTGTAAGTAGAGAGTAGAGACATCAATATCCATACATAAAAACTCAAAACATTCGCAAATAAGCCCTCCATTTTATTAATGTAAAACACTAAATGATCCAGATGATCAGAGCAATATTTGCAATGTAAAACACTAAATGATCCAGATGATCAGAGCAAAATTGCAAATACTCTACAGGTAACATTACACTCATTTCTGGCTTCTCTCCTTTTCCATCTGATCTTCGTCAGTTACATACTTAAACATTTCACTTTTACTTCCAAACACGTGTCTTTATAATCAAAATACAATATGCTAGCTTTAGTTAACAACAAGCGTTAAGCCTTTATAGTTTATCCCAGTTAACCATATTATCTGTTAAGTGTCAACGTATCATGTCTTTTATACAGTGTCCACTATTCTCTGGAAGTCCTTTCACTAATTCTTGAGAAGTCTATTGATTTGAACTGTTACTTCACCAATGTATTCATCCAGATTTCATTTTATCTTCTGTTGGGCCACTCAAATTCCTTTCTAATAACACCCTTCAAATCAATCCAGTTAGATATCCAAAAACACTTGCTGAAAATAAAAACATCAGATTTCAGGTGAATATTAGATCCATAAATGGAAAAAAAGAGATGTGATCAGGTCAAACCACACACATTCCAATCCAAACTTAACATAATTAGCGACCCAAAATAATCTTCCAGCAAAACAAAATCACCGCTTCAGTTTTTTCGTGCCTAATCAACACAAAAAAAAAAAGACCACATAGAGCATTAAAAACAACTAGATCATCATCCAATAAATAAAGCAATCTACCTTTGGGGTCACTGAGACAGGAAACTCGCAGACCATGTAGCTGTTTGGGAAGCTTAAACTCCCTCTGGGATCCCAAAAATAGAAACCCAGATGAATTAATTTGGAGCAGCCGCTGGCTCTGCAATTTCAAAGGTAACGGAGCTGAGGACAACGACGGCAAATGACCAACGGCATAAGTCCAAGCCATGAAAATTTTTCGGGTATGTTTTAAACCCACAAGTAAAATAGCGGAATAGAGAATTAGAAATTGTTGTGATGAGAACAAAAGTAGGACTTATTACTGATCGAGAAAAATGACAAATAAGGATTGAAGATTGCAGAAAACCGTTTGGGGGCGTGAAGAAGGAAGTGTTTGGTGGGGGACTGAAATGGTAAATATGGAGAAGACAAAGAAAAAAAGGAAATGAAAATCACGTGGGGGTATTTCAGGCGGGCATAGATAGTGACGGAAAATTTTGAAGACGGACTTCGGATGTGGTGGTGGTGGACACCGGTGAAATGGTGAAGCGGAGAAAATTAACAAAAAAAAAAAAATAAAATTATAGTAGTCCTAATATTACATTTCCGTCACACTTCTAATGTTACATTTATTTATGAACTTATTATTATAGTTCGAAAAATAATAAATGTATGACCGGGGTTCGAATCCGGGTCTGGACATGTAGCAATGATTAAAATACTTGTTGGGAGAGTTTTGTCTTCCGAATAGGACCTATCCGACTCTAATCCGAATTAATCATAGCAATGATTTTGGACACCGGTGAGTAAATATGTAGAATTGTGTTGACCCACAAAGGGTTACGAAAATCTTTTGTCATTTGTGATCTTTTTTTATAATGGTTTGTACAAAATTCTCTTGGAGAATAAATAGAATATTTTGTTTTATAACCATTTTTTGCAATGGGAATCTATGAAGATTATGCGAATCTCAAGAAGATTATTGTTTACATATGTTACCCGCGGACCTGGAGCACAAGACTACAAGAGTGTGGCTTTCCAAGCAGAAATCAAAAGAGTCGAAGACGCCACCAATCAAATAAGTAGTAGAGTATAACTTTCTCTCGCATAAATGATAGCTCAATAAAATTTGATAAAAACAAATTCACTTCAAAAGCCAAAAGAATTTACTTTGAATGCCAACCTTGGCATCCAGGAAACTAAAGAAACGCAAAATCACAGTGTGTCAACCTATACCAAAAGCATCACGCGGAAAAAGTTTCAGTTCAGTTCGATAAATAATACTACTACTCCGTAATAACAATTATCCCTAAAACACCAGGAAGTGTATCCCGGAAGGAGTTAAAAGAAAATTGAACTGCTAACATTGAAATCACAACTTATTTTGTAACATTACTTCAGAAATAAGACCATCAGAGCATCCTGCCGGCGCAAAGAGTTAAAGTATCTGTAACGTAACATGTGAAGGCATTAATCCCAAGAGTTGCTGCTCAGCGCACCTTCTAGCCTCATTTGTTATCTCGGCTTCTCGACTGAGTGCACGGGGATCGCAAAACCAATGTTCTCCACAATGTGCAAGAATTTTATGGCGTGGATCAACAATTATCTTCTCGAGAGAATTTGCATTCTGAAGGAAGTAGTTGACTAGGTCCAATTCAATTGAATGGCCTTGATATTCAGAAATCTCAACGACACTAAGATGTTGGACACCATAATTTACAAGAGACTCTGTCACCCTGGTGGTCTCTATTTAGGACGGTACCTTGTCTGCAAAAACAAAACATCAACAAGTATCATAAACCAGTCCACATCAATGGTACCACAAACCTATATGTACATATAATATAGAACAACAACCTTTATAGAAAACTTCTCCAGGTTTGGTGATGCCTTGAAGAACGAAGTAAGTCCAAAACATGCTCTCTTTCACAAATAAAAGAAGTTCTAGAGACAGCAGCTTCAGTGCAGGTAACTGAGGTAGTTTCCTATCAAACTGGGATGACAAAACAAAACATGGATCAAGATAGGAGGCGGCAGCCAGCAAGAATAATGATCTGTGTATAATCAAAAGCACAAGATTCCAAAATAAGGTACTCCAATAACACAACGAACAAGATGCATACCTCTATAATCAGATCAGGATGCAGATGTAAGGAAAGAACCTCCAGCTTTGAAAAGCAGCATGAAAACTGGCGAACGAAATGTTCCTCGACATGGTAACCGCCAGAGAGGAGGTCAACATGAACAAGTTGGGGGACATTCTTAAGCACTAGTGCACTCGGCCTCCAAATCTTAAGCGGGATAAGATTAACATAGCTTATAATGAGGGTATCTGAGGGACAAAAGTTGATTTCCAAGTGTTGTAATGCAAGAGATGGACCGCAAACTTCCAAAAATACTAGAGGCAAACACGACCAAACTTTCAAGACATTTGCAGTTGTGCAAAAGAAATTCAAGATTATCCCCCGACACAGAGACACGTTTCAAAATCAATTCTATGAGAGAACTCCAATTTCTCTGATTGAAAAGTGCAGAATGAAAAACGAAATCCTGAGTGCTGGAGAAATAACCTGAGCCATGGTGTGACATATTGAGCTCCAACCTTTGGACTCTCTTGTCAAAGGCATACTGAAGCCACTTATTCAATTCCACTTGAAAAGAATCATTCAAATCAAAATAAATTCTGAACTATTCAAAACAGGGAATTGATGGGAATCGAGCAACTTATTTACCCAGTTCACAAAATTGGGCCTTTCCCTTATTATTCGATCAAATTAACTTTCTCCAGCCACCATGCATAATGTAGCGAATGCATTAAAATCGAGATCAGGAACATAAGTTCACACATGCTTCCATCTTTTCGACAGAACACTTGTTCTGCCAATTTCTTTGAGAGTTAGAGACGATAAGGTACAACACAGGATATCAGTCGAAAGCTGACTTATCCGATCTTCTTGTATGCGCTGCTTGGTTGTGCAACGTTCACAACGTATTACCTAAGAAACAAATTGTACTTAAAGTTTTGAGAAGAATAATCATAAAAATCCGATCTTTATGTCTATGCTTTGCTTGGTTTTACACCAAAGAAACAAATTGAACATGAGATATTGAGAAGAATAATCATAAACACAAAAAGACCTCGGCACTGCAACAAACTGCAAGTAAGCCGACAAATTCTTTACTAGAATAGCAACAACAAACAACAATGGAATCAACAAATGAGGAAGGCAAAAAAAAAAAAAAAAAAAAATCGGAAAAATGATGATAGAATGTCAAGTAAAGGAATAAACAACAGTGTAATATGAAAAAGCTCCATTACAAGATTGAAGGTCACGCAGTGCAACAAGTTCAATTAGAAGAGCAAACAAAATCCAATTTTCAAAAGAAAATTAAGAACTTTATCATAATCGACAAGTGTCACAGTAGATAAAAAGTACCAGAAATCAGGCAAAAAATTCAAGCTACGGCAAAGCGAGAAGACTTATTACTTCTTGGTGTCGAAAATACCCCAGGTTCTGGTCGGTCTTTATCCGTCTCCCCCAACAAGTTGAAATCTTTATTCAATCTCTGCATAATTGGGTTGTCGGAAACCCAATTATTTAGGCTTTCCGAAGACTCTGCCGGCACTTATGACAATCAAACGACTCGGACTTACTCACTCTGACCGAGCACTGCCGTTCCCGGACTTACTGTAAACAATAATATGCGTCCCTCGATTCTACAGAGGCTTTTATTTGAACATTGAAACAGAGAGATTAATACATAAGAAGGGAGGATATGAATGCAGAAGACGGAAATCCGGGATTCCATTTTGGTCACTCGGTAGGTAGAAACTAGAAAGCATGCCAGAATCTTGGCAACGAAAAAATTATATGTAAAAGGAACGAAAGAAACACGCCCAGTGGGACTCGAACCCACAATCGCCTGATTAGAAGTCAGACGCCTTATCCATTAGGCCATGGGCGCTGTTTGATGTCATATCTGCCTTTTTTCATATATAAAGATGATCTCAAAAATTGTACTTGTGCCATAAAAACACCATTTAATTTGTTCTCAGCGGGACGAAAATCAATACGAGGTTCTCGCATGAAAAGTTAAACCAAGTATATTTTGGCAAAACTTGATGCCTTGTGTAATAAATATGTTTCACTTAAAAAGCTGAATATTTAGTGAGATTAATGACACTACAAAAATTGTATCTCATCACTTGGTGTTTAGAGTGTAATTTAGTACATGATTCAGCCCCAGGATTTCTGTTACATAATGTCTCCTAAATCCTAATCAGATGCCAATTACCATCATTTCCAGAATATCAATGCACAGGATTCTAATGGACAACTCTCATTTACATGCTTGAGTCTTGAATTGCATCCCTCGTCTCTCTGTGTTTCTGGATAACTCCAATTCGATGCTTATGTTTGCTAATTCAAGCAGAAACTGAAACCTATGTTTTTGGGGCGTAACACCCTACGTTTTCCAGTACAAACTGGAGCTGTGATCACATTCTGAAGACACCAAACTTGGTAGTTTCCGGGCCACGGTTCAGGGATGCAGAGATGCAAAGGCCTAACACTTTTCTTGTGTCAGCTGGATCGATAATGCCATCGTCCCATAGTCTCGCCGTGGAATAATATGCACTGCCTTCTCTTTCATACGCTTCTACAACTCCAGCTTTGAATTTCTCCTCTTCCTCTTCTGTCCACTGCAGAATGCGCAAAGAGAAAAAAATATGCTAACTGGATATTTTTTAATAAAGACTGTTGCAGAAGTTTGATGCCGGATCATTTACCTTGATGCCAGCTTTCTTCTTGTTGGCCTTTTCTATTTGAGAAAGAACACCTGCTGCCTGAGGTATCCCAAAGGAAGACAAAGTGGAGCAATTAAAACATTATCTTCATGGTAATGGTTTAGAAGAAGAAAATGAATATATCCTGACAAAAGCAGAAACAAAATAGCAATGCAGCCATCTGATTAATGTACTATTAAGGGCTACCTGGGCACCTCCCATCACAGATATTCTAGCATTTGGCCAGAAAAACAAGAAGTCAGGACTATAAGCACGTCCACACATGGCATAGTTGCCAGCTCCAAAACTTCCACCAATCATAACAGTGATTTTGGGGACCTATTTTGTGAAAGGAAACCAATAAGCAAGAGTAAAAAAAAATGTTTCACTTGTTAGAAAACCTAGTTATCAAGAGGTAGGAACCCATTATTAACAACACCAATCCATCTTATTAAGAAATCAATTAGGTCATATAAAGGCTTTGACTGCTGCAGTTCATTCAAAAGCGTGTTGCTTTCAACATTTGCTACAAAAAGGTCAAAGTATGGATAAAAGCTAGGGCTTTCCACCCAAGAACAAACAGCTAACCTTTGCACAAGAAACTGCCATCACCATTTTTGCTCCAGCTTTTGCGATACCATTGGCCTCAGATTTAGAACCGACCTGTAACATCAACAAGATCTTCAGTTCAGAATTCTATTAATAAAAAAAACAAACTTAATTAAAATCTCAATAGGAGGGACACTGTAAAGGAACTCCTGGAACAATAAGAATATAATGTCTAGTTGATTCATGCACACTGCATTGGAAGTAACAACTAAGAAATGAAATAGGAATACACATGGGAATATATCGATCCCATGACTTGCATACCATGAATCCCGTGATATTCTGAAGGAAAATCAAAGGAATGTTACGTTGAGTACACAACTCAATGAAGTGAGCCCCCTTTAGAGCAGATTCATTGAATAGTATCCCATTGTTTCCAATTATTCCAACAGGCTGCCCAAAAATTCTCGCAAACCCTGTTACAAGTGTCTGCATGAAATTTTTTTTAGAAAAAAATCATCAACCCTCATTCTCAAGCTTACAAAAACAACAATATAATAATAATAAGAGCAAAAAATAAAGTTTGAAGAAAAGAGAAAACCTCACAGGTCCATACAGTTTCTTGAACTCATCAAATTCACTTCCATCAACAATACGAGCAATAACTGCTCGAATGTCAAAGGATTGCTTTAGGTCAACGGGTGCAATGGATCGAAGATCATTTATGTCATACAATGGTTCTTTGTATTCAGAAGCTCTATTTTGATACACATTATGGTTAGCGGCCATGTGCAAGTTCTTAACAATATTCCTACCTATTTCCAGAGCATGCAATTCATCTGCAATGCAAATATAGAACTCAGAAACATTAGCACTAACAGAAAGGAAGAGAAATGGATGCATTTCTTCGGGAGCATTAAAGAATCCTTGGAAGTCAAAATCAATTGCGAAGGACAAAAAGATTAGGAAGAAACAAAAGGTACTGATGACACACCTTGGGCAAAATAATCTGAAACACCTGACGTCTTACAGTGTACAGTTGCACCTCCAAGGTCTTCTGCAGACACTTCCTCCCCTGTGGCAGCCTACTAAACAGATTTCTCTTAGAAAAAATACATACAGGATAGCACCTATAGAAGCACATATATTTCTACAAGCACATCACTGAATCATGCACAGTAGCCCCGATAGCAGGAAAAATGTCAATCAGGTAACATAATTGGCTTATACTTTTTACATCAAAATAAACAATACTACTCAGAAAGATGAAAATGCTCATCCAATGAAGTAGTTTTTCTGACCTTTACAAGTGGAGGTCCGGCCAGAAATATGGTACCATTCCCTTTAACCATTACACTTTCATCCGCCATAGCAGGTATGTAAGCCCCACCAGCAGTGCAAGACCCCAAGACCAAAGCTATCTGGGGAATAGCTTGCGCAGACATCAGCGCTTGATTGTAAAATATCCTGCCAAAGTTTTCCTTGTCAGGAAAAACTTCAGCTTGCTTCGGAAGGAAAGCACCTCCACTATCAACAAGATATAAGCATGGCAGTTTACATCTTGCGGCAATTTCTTGTGCCCTGAGATGTTTCTTCACCGTAATGGGATAATATGTTCCACCTTTCACAGTTGGGTCATTCGCGACTAACATGCATAATTTACCATGTATTGGTCCTATCCCAGTAACTATCCCACCAGAAGGTAAGGGCTCGTCATACAATTCATGTCCAGCAAGCTGAACAAGATCAAAATGAACCCAAGTTAAAACATCATAATCACCAAGAGAAAGAGTAATTCAATTCACAACTGAAAGATATATGTTCATATAAAAGTTAAAACATTTTGAAAATGGTTGTGTTGAACAAGCGTACAACCTAAATTGGCAGAGATTTTATAGATACACAGGATCGTGATTCATTTGATATCTTCAAAGAAAATAGTACCACTATTCCTAAAAGTTAAAGTAATTTCAATTGTTGGCCTCTATCGCCACTTGCTACAGCTTTAACTAGCATAATACTGATAATAACTTTGAAATAGAGCACACATTTATAGGCCCAAACTTTCGTTTCAATCATTATTCCAACCAAAACTTAAAAGTTAACAAAAAAAAAAACAAAAACCAAACACATACACACACAAAGGGGAGGAGAAAGGGTGATCAATTGAACCTGAGAAAGTTCAAGAAATGAAGAACCCGGATCAATAAGTCGGTCGATTCTCTCCCTAGGAAGAAGCTTATTCCTACTCTGATTCCTCTTCACAGCTGCCGCTCCTCCTCCCTCCATAACCTAAACTTATTAATTTCGCAAAAAAAAAAAAAAAGCATAAACTTTTGCACAAAATCGAATGAAATTTTCTGTTGAGGTAGTAATTGAAGAGACCTGGCGAATATGGGAGTGGAGTTGGGAAATGATGCCTTCCATGGCCTGGGAGTTGTGGGCAAATGATTCGGAGCTCCGATCAATGGTATCTGGCAAAACTCCGGAACAGAATCTCCTTCCTAAAAGGGAATCGTTCAGATTACTACGCCATGGGAGTGGTCCGCGTGCAGTTAATAACCTCCGTCCGGTCAACATTCCGACCATGCCCTTCTGTTTTCGACGAATTTCACTTCAAAGTTACAAGTAGTATGACTGTGAGAAGTTGGGCATTTTAATAAGTTACTGCGACTTTGTAAATCGTATTATTTGAAGTGTTCTCAGTAAGACCGCAACGTCATCAATGCATCACAGTTTATCCGTTCCAATTTCCTAAGGATTCATCATTGATTCGTCGTCGCCGTGGCAGTGTTGATCTGCTATTGCTTTCTACTTTCTTCTTTTTCACGGAATTAATTGTATTTTATCTATTGATAAAAAAAAAAAATTGTGTCTTATCCAATTAAATTGTTTTTTTTTGTGTGTGTGTTTGTGTTTTGGTGTATTTGCTCAAATCTTAAAAGGGAAACATGTACAGTAATTATATTCTCAACAATTTGTAGTGTCACTCTTAAACATGTACTCCCGCTGTCCCAAAATTATTATCCACTTTAATATTTCACTTTTAATACAATTTGAACTAGAAATGAAAACCTAAATTGGAAGGAAAGAGTACTTTTTAATTTTGTACACTTCATAAATTTTGTCCGATTTTTTTTGTAATTTATATAGAAGGGAGCTTACGAATTAATTACAATCCATCCTGAATAAAAATGGGATGAAGAACTATCTAAAAATATTTTTTAAAAAAAAAGACCTATTTAGTTTAACTTTTTCCTTAATTTTAAGCGAAGGTGTTGACAAAATATGCTTCCTAATTAAGCAAGAGAGGTCAAATTTTGCTAAGGCATCCGCGGTTTCATTATTCCATATCCGTGTATGCCTAAATGAGATTCGCCAATTGAGACTAAGTAATGTCTTTAATGTCTGAATCCTATATAAAAGACATAACTATTTACAAATGAAGAATCTTGTCAAAAATTGAAATGCCTTGAGGGAATCTAGTTCTAATTATACCTTCCTGAAACCTAATTCCCAGGCTACCTTAAGGCCAATGTACACCCCCCAAAATTCAGCTTATAGCACGTTACATCTTCCCAAGTTCGCTGCAAAACCGATAATCCAATCGCCATCGCTATTCCTGAGGATTCCCCCTGCCGCCGCCTTCTTGCTTTGCTGCACGACCGCTCCGTCGGAGTTATATTGATGTGGTCAGGCGGGGTGGGATCCAGAGTCGCTGAGGAGAATTTTGTCCGATTAAGAGTGACACGATTCACACGAATACCTGAATGGGAGAAATTAGAAATAGCCCAATTCTGCTTACAAGACACTCGACTGCATGTCTGAATGTTACTTGGCCCAATTAGGAGTTGCGAAAACACTTGAATGGAGAACGTTTTTGAGTTTTCACTAATTATTATTTATTCTAGGATCAGAAAAGGGCATTATAAGTCCCTAGCATGTTAGGATTTTTTATTTAGTACAATGAAGAAGACCAAAAATGTTAACTATTACATCTTCTGATTGAGAACTCCCTAAACTACTGCATAATCATAATTTACCATACTGCATGTCAACATAGTATGTATTACTCCCTATGGTCTTTAATATAAGGCATTTTAACTTTTCTTAGATTTCACCTAATACGTATTTTTAATTGATAACAAATTAAACCTTAAAATATTTTATAACAATCAATAGAACACAATAAATGTGATATTTTTAAGATTTTTTTGTCAATAAAAAATGTCTACTAGGTGAAATCTAAGACAAATCAAAATGCCTTATATTAAGGACCGGAGGGAGTATTATACTACTACATCACATCGAAATGTATTTTCGTCATTTCTTCTTTTTGAATATGGATTGTTCTCCCCCCCTAAACTATGAACTCCTGGTAGTATTATTGCAATTACGTATAATCTCCCCACCTTTATTAAATTTTATATAGTCCTGAGTTTACTGATTTTTCAAATATTAATAACATTAATTCCGAATAACTGAAAGTTTGTTAACCCTTGTAATAATTTGTATTTACTGCAAATAAGTCATATTAAAAGAGAAGATCAAATAACATGGGCCACTCCTATAGCCAGCTAGCTTTAAATAACATGCCTGTAGATTACACTAATTAGTATTATTTCAACTTGTGAAATGAAGTTGGATCAAGCGCATAGTTATAAAAGTTGACCATTCTCCATTCAACACAATAGTTCGTTTGTCACTTTGGGCTTTTAGCAATATCTAATTTTTTCGTGTGATTACTCAAAATGAAGAATCAAGCCGGAGGAGTCGATCGGCCGGTGGCGATTCCGTTCAAGTTCCAGCAGCTGGGCACATTACCGATTAGGATAACCCTCACGTTCATTTCCCTTGCTCTTCTTTTGACCCTCATTGTTACTCCTCTTCCTCCATCTACTTTCCAGCTCTTTTTCACTCGCCAGTTAATTGATCATCATCAGTCATTTGATTCCCTCCGGAACTCAACAAAAGTCGGTTCTTTAAACTCGTCCCAGAAGTCAGTTGCGGAAAGGCCAAAGGAAAACGAAAGCTGTGATTTGTTTTCGGGGGAATGGGTACCGAATCCGGAGGCTCCGTATTACACAAACGAGAGTTGCTATATAATACCGGATCAAGTAAACTGCATGAGGTTCGGAAGACCCGATTCAGATTACTTGAGATGGAAGTGGAAACCCGACGGCGAGGATTGTAATCTGCCCATATTCGATCCGCATCAGTTCCTGGAACTCATGAGAGGAAAATCAATTGCATTTGTTGGTGATTCCGTGGGAGGGAATCACATGCATTCGTTGATTTGCCTACTGTCTAGGGTACGTAACTAACACACTTTAATTTTACTCTCGTACTCCCTCCGTCCCAAAATTAATGTTCATTTTGAATTTTTATTTTTTATTATATATAAATTAAACTAAAAGTGAGAATTCAAATTAACAATAATTTTGAAACAGAAGAATATATTTGTACAATTATCTTTGTCGTTGTTGTTGATCATGTGGATACCGCCGGACTAATAGCAAATTGTTCAATTCTCTATACGATTGTTTAGCGCTCAAATAAATTGCTTATGCTTCTTTTAGACTAGAGCTGATTATTTTGTTATTCATTAAAATAAATACGCGCACGTAAACAGCCGCCGTAATTAATTAATTGTGCCTTCTAATTCATGCATGTAGTTTCTGGCTGATAGAGTTAAGCTGCCAAACTATTTTATATGTACGTGTGTAAGCCAAACTATTAGTAGCCACCTTAATTAATTCTTTAAACCCCAGCCTAATTGCGTATCCCCAAATTTAAAACGTTACTCTTACGAACATGACTAATATAGTTGGACGGTGCAATATACTAACACTAAAATTATTAGTGAAAAGAAGAGAATATCAAAAGAATTTGATATCAAATATTCAAAGGAATTTGAGTTGTGAAGATTTTGTCTTGTAAGCATTACATTCTATCTGATCGATTTACAAAGAAAATTCAAGTATGTACGTATTCTATCTAATCGATTTACAAAGAAAATTCAAGTATGTACATATACCTACTAGCATTTACTCCTTCTGTCTCGAAATTATTTTTCAAGACTTTTAGAAATCGATATGTAGAAAAAAAGAATATATAATACATCAAAATGAGGGATCATTTTTTATTTTGTATCTTTTGAAATGGAACTCAGTAAAAATTAGGGGGAAATGATCACTAACCGGTGGCATGAAGTGAAGACTGATTCAGTGGTACTAACAGTTTCTTTTCCAGGTTGTTTACCCTGAGTTTATATCTCCAAACAAGAATGGTCGCGATCGCCCGGCTGATGAACATTGGGTCTACAAAGATTACAACTTCCACATTTCAAAGTTTTGGGCGCCATTTCTGGTGAGATCCGAAATCTCCGATCCATCGGATCCAGGCAGTCCTTTCAGGATATATATCGATGAGTGTGATCAATATTGGATTTCAAAAATTGAAAGGTACAGTTACATTATCATCTCAGCTTCTCAATGGTTCTTCAAGCGAACCCTAGTATACGAAAACAAAACCCTAACCGGCTGCGCTGTTTGCGATCAACAACAAACAAATGTCGCCAAATTAGACTTTTATTTAACCTATGCAAAAGCATTCCAAACAGCTTTCAAAGCCATTAACGGCTTAAAAGATTTTAAGGGCGTGACTTTTCTTAGAACGATTCTAACGCCACATTACGAAGGCGGGGCGTGGAATGAAGGAGGAAATTGTGTGAGGATTGAGCCCTTTAAGAGGAAAGAGACTAGTTTGGAGTATTTGGTTTCGGAAATGCATAGGATACAAGTGAAGGAACTCAGGGTTGCGCAAGAAGAAGGGCAAAAAACTGGTTTAAGATTCCGATTGTTTAACGCGACGCATCCGATGAGTCTCCGGCCAGATGGACATCCTAGTAAGTATGGACACCCTCGGCATCAGACAGAAATTACCTTTAACGACTGCCTTCATTGGTGCTTGCCTGGACCTCTTGATACATTGAATGACTTCTTGCTTGAGTTACTTAGGAGGGAAGTAGTAGGACGCAGTTCATAGTTTAATCTCTTGAATTTGTTGATTTCTTAATAATTTTGATTAATTAAAATTACTACAAATTGGGATTGATCGATCCATGTTGTATGTCGTTTGTGTATATCATTGTAATTTTTTGGGATATACGCACTCAGTGTAATCATAGTTTCGACTGATTTAGAATATTCGAACAGGATATATTCCTTTTGAGATATATAGTTTTCTCAATGAGTATTTTAATGATTGTTATTGATTTGCCACAATGCAAATTCATGGACACGCTCACTTTATTTCATGTGTGTTCGGAAAAGAAGAAGAAGGATTAAGAAAATAGAATCCACAAGGTTAAAGTCGGTCTTCTCCCCCAAAATCCATGCATGGTGATGGATCTTCAGCCACGTGAAAAGTTCAGGGTTTTCTATTAAAATTCGGCCACTTCAAGAAGATTGGATTACATATTTACATTATGTTTAGGTGAGTAAGTGACATGTATTTCATTCTTCTTCTATACCCATAAAAAAAATATTTCTAAAATATTCTAAAAACAGTATAGCTCATAAATTATAATGTGAATTACTTTTCAAAAATGAAAAGAGAATTATCTTAAACTAGATCAGTTTGATAATTTGCTATACACATTACAAACTTCTTATTTTTCAGAAAAGGAACTGTTACTATATTGTGTCTTTAAGATTAGCATTTTATAGAATTTTTAAAATCGAGAAAAGATAAAAATAAAAATAAAAATAAAAAAATCAAAGCACATTACATACAACAACAACAACAAACATTTTTTCCACTAAGTGAGATTGGTTATGTGGATCATATGTCGCCATCGTGCATCGAATCATATTACACATGGAAAAAAATATTTGGGCCAATGGCATCTAATTGCTTTGTGACGTGATATTAATTGTTTTCTTTATAATGTCTAACAGAGACCATCTCATGAAGGATAAGGTAAAAGTATATTCCTTTAATTTTAAAATAATTGTCTAATTTAGATTTTTATTTTTAGAATAATTTATAGTAAAAGAAAAAATTAAAAGTGAATAATTATTTCGAGACGAATTGAATGTAATTATAGAAACAAAAATTACTGTGCAACAACCTCTCAAAGTATCAATTTGAAAGATACATATCATAATATGCGTAACACCAGAAAATTTCTCTACTTGAACATAAGTACTGAAAGCCTTAGCAAAACCTGGCAATTGGGATCGTAAAGCAAAATTATCATAATTCCGTCTTGAGGTTTTATGAGCTATGAGCGCCAACGAACAACGGAACAAGTGCGAGTTTTGGCTTCCAAAGGGAACTAATTAAGTCGTTAGATTTTTTTGGGTACTATGATTGAAAGAGGTTATAGTCTAAGTATAACTAGATCAATATATTACGGAGATATGAAATCCCTATCATGTCATGTTCAAATCAGGTTTTGGCCCCAATCCTTCCCTACTTTAATGACAAGGCTGTGGTTTAGAGAGAAGGAAGTGACAAAGTATTGTGTCTAATCTTAATACACAACTGCAATTTTTTGGTTTTGGTTTCTTGAAAAAAATGATTTCTTTAATGATTTAACTGATCTAATTCATGAATATACTCTCACATTCCTCATTTCTGAGTTTATAGTTTAGTTGAAACTTGAAATCGGTGTCAAACTCAAATCCATAGTCGTCACATAGTGTAGTGTAGAGCCCAAAACATACTTGAAACTTTTTGTTATATCCCAAATAACTCTTGATTAGCCCATTGTTAGTGTAAACTATAAAACTGTTGCAGCTTAAGTGATGACCTTAGGCCTACTCCAATTGACATTTAACACTTAAACTCGTAATTATTTTAGCTCTATTGACCTCAGTACCTCACCCCCACTCGAGGTGAATTTCTACCGAGGAAAAAAATATCTTAATAAATATTTATGATGTACATACTCGAACTCAATACCTAATTAGGATATGCCAATAATTTGAACCCAACAAATATTGCTGCTTTACATTTTCTGAGTAGTCCTCTAATGAAAATTTTGCGGCCAATTTGAACTATTTTTCCGGAATTTATTGAGATTTTATTCGTCTATTAAAAGATGGAATTAGTCATTTTGTAACCGCACATTATCATGTTATTTACTAAACTACTCCCTCCGTCCCATAATTATTGTCCACTTTGGCCAAAAAATTTTGTCCCAAAATTATTGTCCAATTTGACTTTTTATGGATCAAGTTACACATTTGTCCTTAGTAAAAAACATTATCCATAAAATCTTAGTGGTTAAACAATTATTTATGTAGGGGTATATCCGGTTGTTTAAGGTAAAATATAGTTAAGTTTGACTAAAAATAAAATCTTTCATTTTAGTAAAACTGGACAATAATTATGGGACGGAGGGAGTATTTCATTTGGTTCTATCATTATTCTGGGCAAAATAAGATATAGAGAAAGAGATTCAAAAAGAAAAGAAAAAAGAAAGCGAAAAAAAAAAAAGCCAAAGGTCGACATTTTTCTTTGTCATGACATTTTTGGTGGGCTGAGAGTTCAAGAACCCCCACAGGCCCACAAAGATGGCGGTCACAATCAGTAATACGTAAATATATGCATTATTACAAAATATAGATCATGTGAAGTCGGTAAAAACTGAAAATAATGACAGCAAATTAACGGCAAAAGGTACTGACTAATCTTTCTTACGCACTTGATAAACGTGATTAAATTAACTGTTCTGTTTTCAACTGGGCTTTAATTATTTTTGATGGTTAATTATTCTAATATTTATTGAAGAAGAAGAAGACTGTGTATGGGTGCATCAGTTGTTTGTTATTCCAAAACCATGTTTATTTTGCTTTCGAAGTTACTCACCCCATCCAATCTGGAAAACTAAAATTTATAAATTAGATGACATAATTTTTCAAATTGACATATTAAATATAGAATATTGTGTTTACGTCTCAGTTTTATAATGTAATTTTTAAATAATATAAATTTCATAAGCTTAATTTTAAGATTTTAATTACCATAATCAGACTATTTTTTCGAGGCAGCAAGAGTACTTTGTTTAGCTCACTGTATGTGATCAAATGATCCCAATCGATCTAGTATTTAAAACCAAACACTAGATATTACAAGCAATACTTGAAGAAAAACTGTAAGAGAATCTATTTGATTTAGGAGAGTTGCTTCAACATTGAGTACGTGTAGGCAGATAGAAAGAGGAAGTAAATGCAAGCAACTGATGATAGAGACAATAGTAATTTAATCAAAAAATGACGTTGGACTTTCTTTCTTGCTTTTTTTTTTTTTTTTGTTAATTGATTTGGTAGAAGAATTAACCATGAGAAATGGCTGGTGATTTGACAACTTTTAATTTGTATTTACATTTAGATCATAACATATTCCCTCTGTTCCGAAATTATTGTCCGATTCTGATTTTCACTTTCAGTTCAATTTGTACTAAAATGAAAATCTAAATTTAAACAATAATTTCGAGACGGAGGGTGTACAAGTTTATGTATTATTGAAGAGTTAACAAAAAACTATCATTACATTAGTAATGTTTATTTTCCTATTCTGTATACATGCATACACACTGAAAATGTATATCCAGTGCCTCGTATCATTTATACGGTTAAAAAAAAAGAAAGTATCTAATTATTTTATTTTGAAATAAATGCCTGGACCTTTGATAAATGTTAGTCACTTTGTTTGATTTCACAATACCGGCGCATTTTTTATTTTTTATTTTTTGTAAATGGCCAAAATGTAATCATGTCGGCAAGGGATTGAAAAAAGTGTAAATTTTAAAGAAAATAAATAAATAAAATCGTGTGCGATGATTTAGATAGTTTCAATTAGAATTGATATGTTGTTGCCCGATTCAAATGCAAATTAGAGATGCCTATATTAAAGAGAAAGTAAAAAGAAAAAAAAAAAAAAAGGTTGATGTGATAGAAGATACAAAATGTTTTGGCATTTTCGGAGTGGAGCAACAAACAAATGATGACAAATCTTTGGATGGAAGGTAATTGGGTGGATGATTAGAGATGAACAACTGTAAGAGCCGCGTTTAATGAAGTGAGATCAGAGTAAATGGCATTATCCTATTTGGTTGGTGGGGTGTACGGACTGTGTCAAAGATACCGAGTGTAGAAAATTTCCAGAGGACCCGGTCAGAGGCCCTGGTTCAACCGTCTAATCAATCCAACATTAACCAGACCAAACATTCTTTTCTTTTCCTTTTTTTCTTTATTTTTCCCTCCATCTTTCAGTTATATGGATTTTTTTTTTGTAAAAATAATAATAATAATAATAATTCTAGATAGGCACATACGAGAGTGCCGTGGAAGTGTGTAAGTTAGTACAACTAGAGTAGAATTTATTCAAGAAAAAAGAAAATAATTATTTATAGAAAAGATACTTTGCAAATTTGTTTTTCGTCAGTTTTTTTACTGATCAGTTACTTATTTTTATTGTAATTGTTTACTTGTCGCATCAACACGCAATATTGAGCCCTTAATCTCGCCGGCGTGGTAGAAGACTAGAAGGCCCAAAACTTTAGGACGCAACTCCATTTCCTAGCATCTGATTCATGCTATAAAGAGATTCTATACTGTTTGTATTGTAAGATTCATGCAATACGACTTGTAATTTTGATCCGTTAGTTAGATGATCCGATTCATCGAACCATGTGGTTTTACGTTTTTTCCTTTTGTTGGGGTCGCCGATTCACGGTTCATTATTATTACAATGGAGTCAATTTGCTTCGTTTCGTTTCCGGGTCCACCATTCATGTCAGAATCCTGGTTGGCTTTATTTTTATCTCTTTTTGCAGCCACGTTGTAATCCTCATCAACCCAAGTCACTATCAATCGTCTGTTGTTCACTTTTTCAAGTTTTGATGATTCCTAAAATTTAAAAAATGATAGAAGTGAGTCTATATGAGTGTGAGTGACGACAAACCAAAATCCCCTCGTGCTTAAATTCCACCAAATTGTTTATCCGATTCACCACATTCTCAACGTGCATAATTCTCAGCTGCCCAAATTTTTTGGTGTTAAATCTTATAAGCAGATGACTCTATCTTAGGTCGACACACATATTTTTAATACATACTCCAATGCACAGTAATTTCGTGTAAATTAATGATTTAGGAGACTCATCATTGTTACAAATGTTTTCTTATAAAAAGTACTCTCTCCGGTCTTTATTATAAGGCATTTTAATTTCGTCTTAAATTTCATCCAAGATTTCTTTTTAATAGGAATAAAATCCTTAAAAACATTTTATAATAATTAGGAGAACACAAGGAATGTGAAAATATATTTTTAAGGTTTTTTTTTTTACAATTAAAAAGACATTCTAGGTTAAATCTAGGACGAAATCAAAATACCTTATAATAAGGAACGGAGAGAGTATGAATATAACTAAATTCTCAATTATAATATCAACATTTCGTGAAAAAAGTGATGATGGAACTCAATTTTTAATCATAATCAACCATATACTACCAACTGTACAATCTATTTATTTATTCATCAAATTATAGTAATAATTCTTTTATGTCATATACCACTGTCCTGAAATCGGCCAACAGTCCTAATTTCTTCACCGTGAATCCAAAATCATCGGTTTGCACCTAACCCACTTCCAATACTTCCACGTCATTCGGTTTCAATTTGAACGTTATCCAAAGAGCCAATAAGAGAATTATGCAAAATACAGCTCCCCTAATAGAAGCAAAATCTTTTATTAAAATCAATACATTTTTTTACAACGTTGTATGCTACGTTCCATAGGTTTCATGAACAAGGAGGATATAGTTTTACGTAGTAATTGACTACATAAAACTCATTCCCTTTGTAACAGTACCTAATCTGTTAAAAAAGACAAGGACGAAAATGAAGAAAACAGAGCCGCTCTAAAATTTGATGAATTAACGCAGCTCTGTTAAAAAAAAAAAAAAAGAAATTGAGTGAAACTTATTGATTTTCCCGACCAAAAAAAGGGGTTAAAACTAATTTAAAAGCTAAGGGTATTCCCGCTCCCGCCAGAAGAAGACGAATCGCCGTTGAAATCCATCATCATCATCCACTCTTGAAGCTCTGTTTCTCCAAACGCTTCCAAGAATTCCATTCCGGTGGTTGTTCCGATGTCCATGAATCCCGAACTTCCGCCGCCCGATTCGTGGTTACCGGGTTTAATTTCCGGCGGGAAACTCTGCCATTTGTGATTATGATCATTGATATTATTAATTTGCTGTTGATGCTGGGGAATTTGAGGCGAAGATGAAGCTGAAGTACTCTGTTCTTGGTGTTGTTGTTGGGTCAATGTATAATCAGAAAACGAGAAATTGAGCTTAGCTCTTGGCCCTCTGAATTCAATGGCGGCTCGATCATAAGCCCGAGCCGCATCCTCCGCCGTCTCGAATGTTCCGAGCCAGACCCGGGCCGCTTTTCTCGGGTCCCGAATCTCCGCCGCCCATTTTCCCCATGGCCTCTGTCTAACTCCCCTGTAATTCTTCTTCTTCTTCCTGATCTTTCCACCACTATTTTTCTTCGTATTTTCATCTGGGTTGACAATTGTAGTTGAAACAGGAGCAGAGGAAGTAAAATAATCGCAGCCCAGACATCCATTGTACCCGCAAACCCGGCAAGTCTCCATTCCCACCGCCGCCGCCGCCATAATCGGCTGCTGCTGCTGCTGATAATGATTCTGATCGGAAACAATATTAGAGAAAGAAAAACTAGTCATGGACGGCACGGTGGCGTAAGAGGGGGTGCAGGCAGATTCGAATTGAGGGAACAATCTAAGCTCGTGGGCTGAAATGGCATCCAAAACCGCGGTGGCGGTGGGGGTGGCGGTGGTGGTGATGGGAGTACTTCCGGCGCCGGAGATAACATTCTTCAAAGCAGCTACCATAACTGAAAGTTCCTGCTCGGTGGAGATCATCTTCGATTGTGGCGGCTGGGGGGGCGGCGGTGGAAGATGACCGGCGGAAGAGGAGGAAATGGGATGGAGAAGATGAGGATGGTCGGTGAGCTGAGGAGGAGGAATTCCGTCGGGTCGGATTCTCTTCGTTGACCTCTGCTGCATTTTTTTTTTTTGGTTTGGTTTGACCGATTTGAAGCTCTCTTGTGGGATTTTGAATTTGGAGGGAGTAGTTTAAACAACTGAGAATTGTTTGTTTTTTGAGAAGAGATGAAATGAGGTCAAAGTGGTTTATATATGGAGAGTGCCAGCTGTCCACACACACTGCACACGCATTTTGTGCGGATTTGTTTCTCAGTTTTATTTTTGAAAAGGTGAAGTTTCCCACGTGGGATAATCTTTGGGCGTTGGAGGGGGTAAATTTGGAATCTCACTGGGATCAGGTGGCAAGCAATAAGCTAAGGAGGAGGGGTCTTTTCGGAAAGTCCATTATCCAACTACATGTCAGCTTAAGGAACATCTAACATTTCCGATTCCCTACGTATAAGGTGACGCAGACAAAATTTCGTTTTACTCTTTATCTTGCATTATTTACCTCTTCCAAAATAAGGGTTTCGACGTTTCCTCTACACGATCAAAAAGTTGCATTACTTACTGATTATTATTATTATTACTGTGATTATATACCTTGGTTCCTTCACTAGAGTTTTATTATAACTTATAAATTATATCTACAGAAACGATAGAGACAATGAAAAATATATAACAAAAATGCATAGTGACTGATGTGTACATAATACTTAGGGTTGTAAGTATAAATTTTGGAGGAAAGATAAAATTTCAACGGCAAAGTGATAAGAAAATAGAAGTACACATCAGACAATAATTTTTTCACTAATTTTCACTATACATGTCATTTTCCTGATATCTATTAGTACTTGTTTTCCTTCTTAACTTTGGATGTTTATTAATATGTCTATGTGTAACTACAAACGGGATATTTATCATTAATCTAAATAAAACTATATAATATTAAAACTCACAAGAGCACAATTCTTTGAAATGTTGCATTTAAATACAATATAAGTTAGGTTTTGTGTGCAAGTAATGCTTTTCTCGTACAATTAATTACTTTTGCTTAATACACTATTACACCCTTAGGTGAACACTGTAGTAAATAGTTAAATTCGTTATAGCTTGCTTTATAGGCTTTAGCATAATAGTCGCTTCTCTTTTTATTATTATTATTATTATAATGCTTGCTCAAAATAGCCTTAACTCGTTGTGCCCATTTCCAGCATTAGGTTTTAAAAAGATATTCTATCTATTTATACATTTTGACCACAATTATCTTTACATAAGTAAATGTCTCTTGGTGAGTTTAGAATCTTTAACGTGATTGGTTAGAAATTAAATTGAGTATTCTGATTGGTCCATTACTTCACATGACATCATCAATTTTAAATTGAGCCCTTTGATTGGTAAATATATTTAACATGACATCAGCAATATAAAACAAGACTACAAGGGTCAATTAAAAAAATTATTTTTTTTTGTGCCAACTAAATATATCATTAGTCGAGAAAAATAACATAATTAGTAATGTGGCGGGCTAAACGACAACGTTTACTACCCGATGTTACCAATCAAAATGTCGTTTTTTTTGTGCCCATTTTTACTACCAATTTTTTCAACCGCCCTCCATCCCTTCCTTCCCCACAAATTTTTTTCTACCCCAAATGTCAATCTAATCTTCTATCACCTCTATTTTTCCATCCCTACAAAATCTAATTGTATTCTTGGGTACGAAATTCAATTGTTATGCAATGGGGGCGACGGTCAATCTCTCGAAAGGAAGAAGAACTGATCCTGATTTTTTTTTCCGGTTCCCGATGGTAGTGATGGTGTAGCTCCGGCGTCCAGCAAACAAATGGTGATCATACTTTGGTTGGGCTTCTGATGGTGGCAATCCTGCCGTCCAGGAAACACATGGCGGTACTGATGAATTGTGTTTCAGGCGTCACATTGTAATTATTGTTAGAATTTCATTAAGCCGTATGAGAACATGATCATTTGAAGTGAATTCATATTGACATGACTCAAACGGATCGCGCTATGCGCGACGAGAACAAATTTAGTTGCAGATATAGGCCCGGTTATCGTGATAGTTCGTATTCGTAGCTCTCATGGTAAAAATTTCTCCCAATTCTGAACATCGTTTTCAAACCTTGCAATATTTGCGAATGAAAAATTACGAAAAAGGCCATGACCAAAAAAAAAAAAAAAAAAAACTAATTGGAGGTTAACGAAGGTGAAATATGACCGATGGTTGAAATTGGTATCTCTGGTGCAAAATCCTAAACACAGTACAAAAAGACTAAGCCCCCCTCATCGGGGTTAGCACTCTGATCCTTAAGTTATTTATGGGTTGATGAAAGTATAAAGCTTTTAAATTGTACTTAGACATTATACCTTAATTGTGGTTTATTGACTTCGATTTATAAGTTGGGTATTACTTTTTCATATGTGAACACAATTTGGACACTAAGTTCATAACAAAACTTTTGGATAGTCGGTTATAATATTTACGAGCTGGGTCGGGTCCGCATGGGCTGGACAAATACGTCCTCTTCAGAGGCATGAGAAGCAAATATAATAGATCTAGTGTCTTGAGCTCATTGGTTGCATTTTAATAATTCCATCCAATCAATTTAATTACTCGCTCCATTTTAAAAAAATAGTTCACATGAGTAAGAGTCTTATATTTCTTTGAAACACATGTAATTTGTGATTTATAACCAAAACCTAATGAGAGTAATTGGGTAAATCAAATTTTTATCTCTGCCAAAATTAATCTACAACGCAGGAAATACCCATTGAGAGGCAAATTATTATTATTATTTTTTTTTATCTCTATCTATAAAAAAAATAATTCACATTGAATTATGATATTTGTATTCAAAATTGAATGTGAACTATTTTTTTAGACAAAAATATATAATATCCATATCATTTGTATAGAACATGGGATCAAATATCCCCTGAATAAAGAAAAAAGTTTGTCATTCTTCTTTCGAGTGATGTTACTGTTCATTCTGTAGATAGAAACTCAATTGAGGTAAATTAAATTGGAATTTGATGTACATAAACTATTATAATTGGTAATTTTGAAAAAAATAAATCCATTATTGTAATTTTGAATAAGGGTTTCTTTTTCATTTCCCTCATTATTTATATTGAAATGATTGAAATTTCAATTTATCTTTTAGCAAATAGACTAATGTGTTCAATGTATACCATAGTTGTTTAATTGTTTAATTAGTACGCAAAATGACATGTTTCGTAGGGGTTGAGGACATCTCTCCAATTCACTCACTAATTGTTGTAGTTAAGGTTGCTAAGCAAAGGTATTAAAGAGAGAGAGAGAGAGAGAGAGAGAGAGAGAGTAATTAAGTTGAAGATTATTTTTATGTGAGTGGACGGTATTAAATAAACAGGCTTGCGTCATCAGTTACATAAGCAGCAGAAAAGACATGAAGTGGATCCTCGTAAGGTGTCAAGACCCGGTCCAAATCAATTCCACTCACCGACATGTCGTTTTCAGTTCTTTCCAGTCAGACTCGGGGGAACCGAAGGTCCGCTTGTTTCTTGATTCTATTTCTGGAAGTCCTTAAGTCCCACAGTTAATTGACTTAATTCCGGCATTTTTACTAGTAAACCTGAACTGCATTTTCCAATATTCCGGAAGCTCCGGCAAAAGATTTTCCGATAACACTTTAATACGTATTAATTTTTTTTTAATAATAATGATATGAACAGTCGCTATATACAGTAAGGTGAGATAGTGACTCATAAAAATACAAAAACACCACCTCATTAAATTCGTAACTATCAACATAATATGAACATTTAAGTAAATACATGCATGCTATCTCAGTCACTATCTCATTTTATTATTTATTTTCACTGTATGTATCATTTTATAAGTTTCATTATATTGTTTAAATTTATAATACTTTTTAACCATTTCACTTGAATCCCCGTTTACATGAAATGAATAACAAGTTTTTAACCGATTATGTGCTTATTTTATAACTCTACTTAACTTAAAGTTTATGTTTCTATTTTCTAATTCAATCATTCAAATCATTTTCCCCTCTACTCAACAACCATTTTAGTCTTTTAATTTGCGCGGGTACCAAAAGGCTGTGGTGGTTACTTTGGCTGTTCTTTTTTTTTTTTTTTTCCCTTTAATGGTAACAACTTTTGGTGCTTTCAATTTCCAAACTGAAGTGAAAGCAAGTTATAGTTGAGGGTCAAACTATTTTACTTTGAAGTTAATGCAAAATGGAGAAATCCCAATGTTCCGAGTAAAAATGAAACAAATACTAAATAAACCGAATCTAACCTTTCCTTAAGGAAACAAATTGATTAAGCAAATTCACTAGCGAAATGTAGCTCCGCAAGCCCTCTAGAGCTTCATTTTTCTCATATATACTGTGGCAATTACAATTACTCTGTCTCAAAATTATTGTTCAGTTTGAGTTTTCACATAAAAAATTATCGTCCTAAAATTATTGAACTAAAAGTGAAAACTTAAATTAAACAATAATTTTGGAACGGAGGGAGTATAATAATTAAGCTTCTTTTTTTTTTTTTTCCTTTTTGGTATTCTACCTGAGCCGCTTTTATTTTCTTGGTGATTTTAGTTTTGCGGCTGTTCTGTTTAGTTGTGGACCAAATTGACTGGAAACTGTCAGAGATATTTTTGGCTTCAAGGTCAACGGTCAACCACTAGAAACAATTTGCCTTAACTCCCCGCCGAATTTTGTAAGAACCCACTGTTTTAGTGTTGCATCCTTAGCGCGGCATCACATAAAATGCGACTGCGATTTTAAATGAATTTGCAAAATATTCCATTTCACTAAATGCACGACATACAAAAATAAAACTACCGTGCCTTTACCCACAAATGCCCCAAACATTTAATAAAGCATGTCATATGCTCCTCTCTACTACTAATATATTGTAAGTTACAATTTTGTTAACGGTTGAAATGGGATGAAATGAAATGAGAAGCATCCAAAAAGATGGTACAGTGGATGGAACAAAACGCTATAAAAGGATTTCCAAGCATTTCTATAAGAATATGCTTTACGTCTCTACTTTTCTTCCGTTCACGATAAATTGAAGCACCAAAAAAAAAAAAAAAAAAGAGAGAGGGAAAAACAAAATGGCCTTCTCACAAAAGAGTCTAGAAGTCATAACTCATAAGAACAATGGGTAATGGACAATGCTGCTCAACCATTTCAAAATTGTGAGAGAAACAGAACTACCACAAGTTAAAAATTACTTTCTCCGTCCTGAAATTATTGTTCACGTTAAATTTTTATTTTTAGTTCAAATTATACTGAAAGTAAAATCTCAAAATAGACAATAATTTTAGGACAGAAGAAGTATGTTATATCTCTTTCGAATCTTATTTAAAAGGCAAAAATAAAACAAGAAGGGATATATCTTTATACAACAAAAACGCAATTTGTGAATGAATACATCGTGGAACTACAGCGTTCCTTATTTGATTTTGTAATCACAGAGTAAGGGCATCCTCCTGGTGCAGTTTTGAGGGCTAAAGAACCATTTTAACATATGAATATGGACGCACACTTGATTAATGACAATTCACTAATCAAACAACGTAACCAATCAGCTGACACGAACATACGAGTTGGGCTGAGTAGAAGAATCTTTGTAATGAAAATTCCCGCCTTTGTATCCACTCAGTCGTCTTTATCCGAGTCTGCATTGTGATCCAGAAATATAAACAATGATATTGCTTTATGAGGAAAAGAAAAAACAGAAAAGAAACTTGAAAAGTGTTGAGTTGGAAAAAAGCTTTGTTCGAACTTTCTTGTTAAAAGATTCAAGCCAGAATGCTTATTACCAACACTGATCATTCTATTTCCAAAGCAAACTTGTAAGGGTTACTGAGGAAATCACTAGTCATTTAGATGGTAAATCAGAAAAGGTGTCACTTCAAAGCTATCATTCATCTTTTTGTTCAACATCTTTCTTGTTGAGTGAGTTAAACAACGTTTTCACCAGATTCAATCTAATGCCTACTCGCTGATGTGTAGAAAACAACAAACACAGATGGAGTGAAATCGCACGAAAATTGTTCTTCATACCATCTACTTACTCTGTGACATTACTCACCCGATCGTATGTCCTCTCCGACTTTTCCCCTATTTTTTAGCTGTCTCATAATCATTGAGGAAATGAGGTACCACCAGTAAATGTGGAACACAAGCAATGTCAATAACAATGAATTGAAGATGTAGTACAGGGACATATGATAAGGGTCTGATAGATTGAGGAATCCAGCAGAGTAAAAGCTGGGATTCAACAACCAGACAAATCATCAGCAGAAAGGCTCAGATACGAATCCGGTAATAAACAAAAATGGAAGGAACCAATCGAGAGCATACCTGAAAGACCATATGACCCAGAATGGAAAATATACTAGCCTTAGTACAAACCATGAGCAAGCAAATAACCCAAAGCATACGCTAGCTCCAAATTCCTTTTCGAAATATTTTAACACTTTAGCTGCTTCAAGAAACACATCACTAGCATCATGCAAAGCCAGTACAACTGATCCGGTCCGAAAAAACCTACAGAAGTTTTAAAATTAAAATTGTGGAAATTTTAGGTTTCCCAAAACGTAGTGATCAGAAACTACATTAGAGAAAGGTAGTTCTCTAGTAGTGGTGACTCGATGCAAAGGAGAGTGCTGATCTACATTTATAACTATATGGAACCTCTCATGACAGCCACATTTCGCTGTGGAGGAACTTCTGGAACCAATGGCCTTTAACCGATAACCAAAGGAATGAAATACATTGAAGCTTTAACCAAAGGCTTACAGATAATTCTGGAATTTCTGGAAATTTTACAACTATTGATCACAGCCATGCTCAGAGGTTAAAGCCAAAAAGAAAAAAGGTGCCCAATCAATTATGAATGAGCCAAAAGTGAAAGTTGATCGATGAACATCTGGCCGATATTAACAGACATGCAGTCAACATGTCAAATGGTATGCAGAAAGAAGAAGCCTAAAAGTCTCAACTAAAGAACATATAACAACTAAAACCACACCTTGTCATATAAGAGCAGCTGATTAGCATAAAAGCAACAATATGATGTGAGATCATCAAGGGGAAATCCTTTCGACGCGTTTCCCATGAAATGAGAGCAATCATATTGTATATGTACAAACCACATTGGCACATGTAGATAAGCAACAAAGCAGGCCTGTAGTAAGAGGTGCAGAAGGAAATTTGAATTCGTAATCTGGCAGATCCTTGGTTCATGAAAAAGAAAGCATCATAAAATCCAAACGTTTTGAACTTCCATCACAATTTCAAAATGTTACTAACTTGAGCTCTTGGTTAGGCCATCCTCTGTAGAATTCCTCTACATTGTTGAACCATGGCTCATGATAGATGACCATTATCCCACAAAGTAACAGACTAGAATAGCATGCCAGCTTCCACAGTGACTCTGAGCATTTTGTGATCTTCACTGTTCTAGCCTTAATAATTTTCAGTGAAGTAGATTCAACTCTGAGTATCCAAGTGGCTACCCGCTGTAAGAACAGGGAAAAATCAGAAAATGACATATACCTGAATGCTAAAAGCGCTTTTAAGTGCTCAAACATATAAGAAAGATGAAAACATAAATTTGTTAAGTATGTGAGCCTCAAACTGTTGCAATAGATAGATACAAGACTCTGAAACACAAGGCTTATGTTGAATTGGTTCATGCAAAATTCAAAGCAGTAAGTGCTCAAATCTTTCACCTGTTAAACAATTCGCAAATTAATAAGGTCGAATTCCTTCCAAGATCTTAAAGATGGCGCTATTTTCGGGAATATAAGTTTGAGAGTATATAATTCACAAGCTACTAGGCTTAAGTCTAGAGGATGAAATTAAATCCATGCGACAATCTATTCCTGAAACATCTGAGATCTGAGAGTACCACCCGGCAACTAAATACCTAACAGCAGAAACTGTTATACTTTATGCATCAAACTCAAGACAAGGATAAATAAATTAAGTGGAAGTTCTGTCCGTGAAGAAAGAGCTTTTAGCCTTGAGGAAAAACTTAAAGCATCAAAGATGAATTCACTACCAAACAAACTCAAAGAATAATCTTGCATGGAAGAATGTAAATTTTAGTTAATTATGAAGTAGAGACACATTTCACCAAATTACAAAATCCATGAACTCCATGAAGTGCATTGCAGCAACAATAGACATAAGGTTTAACACGCTGGGGAAAAAAAGGATGGAATCAAGATTTAAGAGCTGGAAGAAGAAGAAGAAGACATAAAATTCCAGTCAGTAGTGAGATAACACATGCATCTCCAAGAACATAATACTATTCCACCACATCATGGAATCAAAGTGATATTTAAGAAAGACTCGTGGAAACCTACACGAAAGATGAATCTGTGAAGAAAGAACCTGGCAACCACGAAAAACAGAGCGAAGTAAACAGCAAGAACGAAATGCGAAGTCCTGGGAACGGCATTGTCTGTCCAGATGGAATCCATGAGCAGGAAAATATGAATCCCTTTTCAGCTTGCTGATTAACTGCCCTACTGAAAGTTTCATCAGTTCTTAAATTAATGAAGAATCTGAGTCTGACAACAATGAAGAAGCAGAGTTGACAGGAAGATAAACTTGTTTATCATCTTTGATGTGACCTTAAATTCCTAAGTCATAACAGATTACATACCCATGTTGAATATACTGATCACCTCCCAACTTATTAGTCAACATTGAAAGGTTGGTGTGAAGGGGATAAATATCTCTGATATGACCTTAAGTTCCTAACAAACACATGTTCAAAACACTCATCACCTTCCCACTAATTAGTCAACACTGCCAGGTTGATCATCGTTTATGTAGTAGTTGGAGATGCGCAGAGACTATCTCTGATATGACCTTAAATTCCTAACTTACCCATGTTAAATACACTGATCACCTTCACATATCACTCAACATTGAGAGTCATGGCAGCATCTTTCCTTCTTTTTTTTTTTTTCCCTAATCACATAATAGAGCCTCCAAAGGTACTTTTAGATATCTAAAGAACCTATCTGACACCTACTTCATGCACGGATATGGATGCAGAAAATTTTGATGACTATCTACCAATGTTGCCAACAAACCAACAAGTATAAAGCAGTCAGCCTGAGTTGAAGAACCTTTTTAAAGATAATTCCTGACGCACATCCATTTTAGTTGTCTTCCTCTGAATCCGCACATAATAGATACTTCATCACATGTTATGCCATACTGCATGGCAACAGACTTGTTCGGCGATACCAATCACAAAAAAGAAAGTAAAGTATTATGTAGCCTAGTTGAACTTCAGTCTCAGGAAAACCTTTTATTATCTCTCCAGAAGGTTTAAACTTACATCCGATATTTCAAAATGCCACTTACTTGAGCTCTTGATTTGGCCATCCTGTGGAGTATTCCTCTACATCTATGGACCATGGGTCACCATACATGACCATTTCCTAAACAAAGTAACAGGCTAGTATGGTATGCCAGCTTCCACAGTGACTCTGAGCATTTTGTGATCTTCTTTGTAGCATCATCAATTTTCAGTGGAGCAGATCCAAGTCTAAGTAACCCAGAGGCTACCTGCTGTAAGAACACCGGAAACCCAGAAAAGATGACAAATGTTAAAAAAAATATTAAGGTTTAAGTGCTCAAACATATAAGAGGAACCGAATGTTAAATTTGTTAACCATCTGAGCCTCAAACTGTGCTGCAGTAGTAGTAATATATATGAGACAACCAAGGTATATTTTGGATTATTTCATGTAAAATTAGAAACAGGAAATACTCATCTCTCATCCACCACGGTCTTATATGGAAGGCACTATTGCTTGAGAGTGTAAAATTGACAAGCACTAGATAGGCTAAAATGTAGAGGGTGAACTAAAGCCCTCAACAGCTCAAACAGATACTTTCTTCCGTTCTTAAACCTAGCAATAAACCCTCAGAATGATGGCGGATTTTACTGTATGAACCAAATATTGCAATAAAGCAGGCACATACACTTACCAACACTGTTTCTCCAATAAGTACATTACCCCAATTAGATATCAATTCAATTTTCATAGTCTTCTTTTGTGTGTGTGTAAAATTGGGAATTACGAGCTTTAGAAACACAGTTTCTCTGAGGCCGCTGGAATACAGAACAGAAACATAATGAATGAAATTGAAACTTGGAGACCGAGCCCCAGGGAACTTACACGAACAACGAATCTGTCAAGCAAGAATCTGAAAAAACAGCGCGAAGTAAATCGCGAGAACGAAATGCGAAGATCTGGTGTTGTCTGTCCTGTCCATATGAAATCCAAGAAAATATTCTGAACTCTTTCAGCTCTCACATCAAACAGTTGATTCGGCTGAGTACTGATTTTTTTTTTCCCGTACTACTTCAAAGATGAAATTGAAGAATAATCTGTAAAAACAAAGAAAACATGCAGAGTTGATTCGGGACTGGGGAGGGAGATGAAGTTGAATTGGACCGTGGCGCGCATTCATTTCATATTTTTTTTGAAATGGCATTCATTTCATATTGATGTAAGAGAAACTACGTACAGTATTATTATTATTATTATTATTATTATTATTATTATTTTTGAAACCAAAATAGTTGTGGTGGAGTAGAAGGGACTTTTCCACCCTTAACCATAGGTCGATGGTTCGAATCTCGCTATAGGCATGGAGCAACCTTCCTTAAATACTTTGGCCAGTTGTCCCATCGAGATGTGTATAATTCAACGAAAGGGATTAGTCACAGTTTTCGACGGTGGACACCCTACAAATATGTAAAAAAAAAAAGGGTTCGAATCTCGCCATGGGCATGAAGTTTCTTAAGTACTGTAGTCATTAATTAATTTTTTTTTTTTTTTTTGCATATTTGTAGGGTGTACACCGTCGGTAACAGTGACTAATCCCACTCGCTAAATTGTAAGCACCTCGATGGGTCGGACAGTTGGCCAAAATAATTAAATTTTTTATTTACAGTTAAGATATTATCTTATTACATAGTATAAAATTTTTGGAATAACTATCGGGAAGATAGGAAGAAAAAAGAACTACTTTAATTCATCTATCTAAAATGATTCACTGGGTCGCTTTCATACTTAATTTTTAATTTTTTATCTTCCTCAATTTAAGGTAAATAGGGCAAATCGATAGGAAAAATGTATATTGTAGAACATTAGTTTGAGGGAGAATTTTCCACTTTTAATTTGGAAGAGAAAAGAAATGGTAGATCCGCGACTGATTGCATTACATGGTTGTCAAAGGAAAACAAATAACCAAAGAAACACAAGCCCCCAACGTGCAAGGAAGTAATAATGAAGCATCCATATCAAATCTTTTGGTCGAACCTTGATGAGTTGGGAAGTAATTGAGTAATTGAGGAAGGTTTTAATTGATCTTAGGCATGGTTCCTTAATAATTAGTTGGAAAGGCAATAACGTAGGTGCCTCATTTTCCAGTCATTCTACTCAAAAATTTTTGGTGGGGTTCACAACGCCACCAAATGCATTATGTTACATATAAAGTCGCTTGCATTTCCTACTTTAACCATAAATATTTAGGGCAACCGTTACATAATTTGGGATTGTGTAGCGAGACACACTTAAGAACCAACAAAACAAGCTAATATACTAGTAAAAATGTGCATACAGTATCATGGATGCGCTTTTTTTCCTACTTCAACAATACTTTTGGCTGTCTTTCCAAAAACAACGCTTTGTTCACTCCCGACGTTAATGCGGGCGAAATGGACAAGAATGAAGATATGACTCTAAACTAGACACTCGATCTTTCTGTGGGCAAGAAAGCGTATTTGCCGGCCAAATGGCCCTCTTTACACTTAATGTGGGTCGATTGCAGCATTTGAGGTCGGATCTTCACTTTCACTTATATCTCGTGCGCTATTTCATTACTCATTCAAAAATGTGTCATTCTGTCCACAAAAGAGTCATATTTGTACTGTTTTCGGTATCAAACATGACACAGTTTTGGGACGACGAGTGTTTTTAGCAGAGCGATTATAGTCCACCAAACAAAACATGATAGATAGAACTAGTCTGAAAGAGTAAAAAGAATAAAGATGCTGCAGGTAAAGCAATTCCAAATATTTGTAGAAGGTATGTCCATGTCTACTTTTCTTTCCTTACCACAAATTGGAGAAAGCAAAAAAGGAAAGAAAAAAAAAATGGTCTTCTCACTAGAGAGAAGATACTATGTCAGGAGGAAGTGGTGTTCCAGATACAGTTGCTCAACACATTTCAAAATTGTGGGACAAACAACCACTATTACTAAGGAAAAAAAAATCGTGTTCTCTATATTTTATACAACCAAAATGCTATTTTGTGAATCAATAAGTACTTCGTGGCACTACATCTTTCCTTCTATCTTTTCCTAATCACATACTAAGGGCATCTGACTGCACTTTCATATCAAAAGAACCTATCTCACGGCTATTTAGTAGTGCATGGATATGTATGCAGAAAATTTGATCACAATGTACCAACCAATCAGGACACAAACCTACGAGTGTAAAGCAGTCAGGCTGAGTAGAAGAATCTTTGTAAAGAAAATTGCCGCCCTACATCCATTTAGTCATCTTCCTCCGAGTCTGCATGGGGATTGAAAAATGTAAACTACTATATCAGTTTGTGAAAAAGATAATAATAACAATAACGGAGGAAGGTTCCGATACGTAGAAAACAGAAAGAAAACGATGTACCAAACACAACGGAGTGTGTTGCACAAAAATAGTTCTCGCTACCATTTACTCTTGACATTACTTACCCGATCGTATATCTTCTCCAACTTTTCCCCTATTTTTCAGCTGTCTAATAATCATTGAGGAAATGAGATACCACCAGTAAATGTGGAACACAAGCAATGTCAATAACATTGAATTGAAGATGTAGTACAGGGACGCAGGATAAGGTTCCGATAGATTCAGGTAATCAGCAGAGTAATAGCTGGGAATCAACAAGCAGACAAATCATTAGCAGACAGACTCAAAACAAAATTCCAGTAACAAACAGAAGGATCCAATCGAGAGGATACCTGGAAGACCTTATGACCCAAAATGGGAAATATACTAGCCTTAGTACAAGCCATGAGCAAGCAAATAATCCAAAGCATACACTAGCTCCAAATTCCTTCTCGGAATATTTGAACACTTTAGCTGCTTCAAGAAACACATCACTTGCGTCATGCAAAGCAAGTACGACTGATCCAATCCGAAAAAACCTACAGAAGTAAAGAGCAAATAAAATTAAAATACAGAGGGAACATTTGATTTCCCAAAAGGCAGAGATAATTCAAAAGCTACATTCATAAAACCTATAACTGAACATCATTTTTTTACGCCTGAAACCACATACTAAATACCCAGTTAAAAATCCCCCACACAATTATGTTTAATTAAAATCTTTAAAAAACACTCATGACGTGCAATAAACACACAGGTATTTCTTTTTCAAATTAACCATCCTACGCCTTTCAGTTTTGAGACAGAGAGTGGAAGGGGACAGCGATTGTAGCAATAAGTATTCAGATTTGATTAGTCATCCCTGACTGCAAAGGAGAGAGCTTTATTCAAAAATAGCTACACGGAACCTCTCATGACAGCCAAACTCGCTATGGGAGGAAACAGAATGAAGCAGCAGCCCTTAACCGAAAACCAAAGGAAAAGGTTACCAGGTCCTAGCTTCAGGAAATTGTGGACTTATGAGATAATTCAGACATCTGCTGAAAACCAATACAATTATTGATGACTAGCATGCATATCATTCTAAACCAAAAAGGTAAAATGTGTCGAAATTGACTAGATAGAGCTAAAAGTGCAAATTGGTCAATAGACATCTGACCTATATTAACATAAAGCACATAGTTGATAGTATGCAGAAAGGAGAAGCTTCAAAAGACTTGGCTAAACAACAGTTAAAACCATACCTTGTCATGTATGAGTAGCTGATTAGGATTACAGTCACAACATGATGTGACATCATGACAGAGAAATCCTTTCGACGTGTTTCCCATGTGAGGAGAGCAGTCATACTGTATATGTAGAAACCACATTGACACATGTAGATAAGTATCAAAGTAGGCCTGCAGTAACAGATGCAGAAAAAGAATTTTAGGTAAGCAATCTCAATCTGGGAGAATTCATAGGACATGAAATGAAGCATTGTCCAATCTTTTCCACAAGAGAAATTGTTTTAAAAATTTGTGTGTCAGCAGACAACGTGCAATTTAAATTTTATATAATAAACAATAGACTCTTCAAAGAGTATAGCAGGGAATCACAAAATTTTAACCAAGAAAGAAAGGAGATAGCACCGAAGATCAGTGAAGCTGTCAATAAGAAATGGTACTCATTACAATTGGTGAAAACCAAGTTAGCAACATGGCATGAACATAAATAATTAATGTACAAGGACATCTCCAGTGTATTCCCGGTGATGCTAACTGCAAACTAGCATTGGACTCTCGGACTATCAAACTTGGTTAATTTAAAGCAGAAATCATGTGCAGGTGGATAACATAAATTTCCTTTTGCGGAATTCACTACGGGAAAAAAGAAATGAATGCTTCAAATTACGGAAAACATTCTCTCAAACAACAGCTACATAGCTAAACATACAAGTTATAAACCAATTTGAAGGCAGCACATTTACGGAGGAAACCACACATGTAAACTGTATAAGTAAAACAGTTGGTAAATTTGGATTTATAATTCAGTGGAAAAACAAACTGTACAAGACCAAGCAAGAAATTACAATAAAAAACCTTTTTCCTGTCTCCAGTCATGAACAATTAAAGATCCAGCTACATGTAACTGATACTTCCATCACAAGTGATATCATAGACTATTTACTCTCACTCAGAGGAATCAATCAGAAAAGAAATTGAAGTATTACAAAGTCTAGTTGAATACAACTCTCCCATTGAACTTCGATCACACTTCAAAACATCACTTACTTGAGTTCTTGGTTTGGCCATCCTCTGAAGTATTCCTCTATGTCTTTGAACCATGGCTCACGGTAGATGACCATAATTATACAAAATTCCACGCTAGCATAGTATGCCAGCTTCCACAGGGACTCCGAACATTTTGTGATTTTCACCTTTCTAGCCTCATTGATTTTCAGAGAAGTGGATCCAATTCTAAGTAACCAAGTGGCTAATCTCTGTAGAAACACCACAAATTCAGATAACGGTTAAGTGCTCAATCATTATGGAGAGAAATTAAATTTGAAAACTATGTGAGCCCCAAACTGTTGCAGTAGTGATAGATATGAGACTCTTAAACACAAGGCTTAAGTTGGATTACCGTAGAATTAGAAACTGGAAATACCCAATTCTCTCACCCCACAAAGAATTAGCAAACAAAGTTCATTTCTTGCAAGGCCTTATGATGGCATTATATGCTGGAATCAAAAGTGTACATAAATGACTACCACTAGATAGATTGAATTTAGAGAATCCGATAAAGCCAGGAAAGCGAAGCATAAAGTGATAATCTGGGATGAAATCTGAGGCTATTGAAAGGCTAGCTCCAGATAAGTTGAGTCTAGACTCTAGAGACTGTAATACGACCAGGCAACAGAAACCCTTATAAACTTGAACAACTTTTCTAATGAACAAACCTTAGATTTAACAGAGCAGAGCAGGCCAAAAGACTTAAATCAATACTTTTTCTCTGAAACAAAAATCATCAAACAGAGACAAGTCCATAAAACCAGTTTGATGCCAATTCAGTTATTTATAATGTCAGCAAAATTTGGAAGCTTAACATTAATAGCTATAAATAAATAACTTCATATATAGAGTGACACACAGCCGCTGGAAAAATGTAATAAGGAGCAGGAAGAAGCTTTAGAAAGTCAGTGCTCGTAAAGTTTTTGAGGTAAATGGACCAACCATCATAACCCCTACTGACATCAAAATGACCCGGGTAAATAAGCAGCCATTCTGTTCATGAAAAAGAAGTTTTAAGGGACAAGTTAAAGCATCTGAAACCAACCATCAACCAAACTAATCATCAGCATATAACTCAATTATTAAAATTGCAGCGCTGGCCATTAAAATTATCAGAACAAATAACGGAGATATATAAGCCATAAAGGTCTAAACTAGACAGGCAATATTACATGGAGGAAGGCAACATTTAGGAAGGCAAAGTGAAACATCTATCAACTTAAAGGTCCTTACCCACTTCCTATTTCTTCTATACCCGTTATCCCATTCTTTACTTCTATCCCCCTTACACCAAAACCATGCTCTTTGGAAGTTAGTACTTTATTTAGTTCTGGTTGGCTATCTCGAGAGTCGGCACAAAAACAAATTGATCCAGTTTGGAGCATAAAAATCACAGTATATCATTCCGTAGGTTTTCCACATTCAAATGCATCTTCATTGATTGAAAGTTGGCAGGTAAGCACAAATCACTATGACTAAAACTGACTTCCACCACTATATAAACTGTAATTCAGTATTCTTTCAAATCACCAAACTTCTATATACGAACTAAGACGCAGTTCACGAAATTCCAAATCCGTCAACTTCACGAAGTGCAGTGCAGCAACAATAGTTATAACGAAGTCAAATCTCAATCAAGAGGAGAGATAATACTGAACACACACTACCCGACAAAAAGAAAGAAGTAAATAAAGAGCATCAGGGAATCAAATTTAATTTTCAGGATCGAGCTCTTGGAATCTTACACGAAAGATGAATCTGTCGAGAAAAAGCCTTGCGACCGCGAAAAACAAAGCGAAGTAAATTGCTAGAACGAAATGTGAAGTCCTGGGGACGACATTGTCAGTCCAGACGGAATCCATAAGCAGGGGGGGGAAAAAAAATCTGAATCTCTCTTCTCTGCTCTCACATGAACCAGTTGTACTTACTCCATTGGTGTGTACTGATGATTTTCATACTTGAAAAAAAAAAAAAAAACCGCTGCAATTATAACCCGCCGGCATTTCACATCGATAAACCTGCGGCATTCATGTCTGCGCACTGATCCACACTGAACAAAATCTCTGCTCCGCCACCGGTGCTGCGATATCACGAGTAAACTGAGGTGTAAAATCGGAAGAAGATTTAGCTAGGGTTTAGGGAGTAATGTGTGTTTTATCAGAATTAAGGAGGGAAATTTGGGAGGGGAGGTTAAATTGCTTGATAGCAGGATTTTTGTTTTTGGAGGATAGGGGAAGGAGAGAAGAAAGGAAAAAGATGGGGGAATTTGAGGATCTTGTGTGCGACTGTGTGACTGTGTGTGTCGTCAAATCAAATCTGAAAGAGAGGCTTAACTGTCTAAAGTGCGAATTACGATGTGGTAGTGGGGCCCACGCTTCCGCGGCCAGTCACTAAATAAAATAGCCCCAAATGGGCTTAACCCAGTTTAGGATTGGATTCCCTACTCTAAAATATGTGGGCTATTCCAGTGGTTTTGCCATCTAGGGTAACATACAAAAACATTCTCTTCCGTCCTTATCATAATAAAGTATTTTAATTTATCTTAACTTTCATTTATTGTAATTTTTTTATTTAGAAACAAACTACTATAAAAATATGTATTTTAAAATAATTAAGAAAACATAATAAATGTGATAATTTTAAGGTTTTATTATTAATTAGAAAATTCATAATAAATTAACTTTATGAGAAATCAAAATGCCTTATAATAATGACCGAAAGTTTGTAAATTTTTCTTTTTTCCCCTTCTGATACATTGTTTAAACAAAATTGTACTCCCCAGTTCTCAAAATACTACTACTAATAATAATAAAATAAAAATTACATTACAGTTTGTTAATTCTTGTAAAAACAATAAGATCCACAAATAATAATGTGATTTATTTTTCTATGACAGAAAGAATGATAGTTTCTTTTTCTTTGTTGCTGATTTAAACATTGGTTCATGAGACACAAGTCACAACTTGATTATTTTCTAATTCACTAGTTGAATTAGAAAAAAATAAAAAAAGTTCATCAACATATCAACCTAATTATAAAAGACGATAAATTACAACAATCTTCTCAAATAGCTCAAGAAAATAATGCACATTATAAATTATAAATTATATATTGTTCTCTGTTTCAAAAAAAAACAAAAAGGCCCTCATTAAATTTTAAGATTTGAATTAAAAATAATTTCTATCTCAAAATTTAATGTGACTATTTTTTGAGACATAAAAAAGTGAAGGAATAATCAGTACAATTCACGATTTATTGTAATTTATTTTTAGACCAAAGGAAAATTAAATTCTCCAACCCATAATTAATTCTATCCTCTAGCCTCAAAGACTTATTAGGGCATGCATCCATTTTCTTCAATCCTATTAATTTGATGATTCAACTCTAAATTTTACATTAAAAAAAAAAAAGAGTAATACAAATAAAGTTTTACTTATGCCACCTTCCATGAACCTGCAAAGTTTAACAATAACCAAACAGCTACACAATTCAATCTATTTTATTTTTGGTATCATTTATTAATACAGTACATAAAAGTGGACCAACTTTGAGCTCATTTGGGAATCAAATGGCGGCGAGGCTAAATGGACAAACCATGAAGCTTCCAGACGGTGTTTCTATACACCATCAACATAGGGCTTTTCGTCGGATACGATCCCCAAATAAAGGTGTATGATGTAATGGGCTATGTACACTGAAGCCCGTGGGTCATCTATGGTCAAATAATGATCCACAATTCCACAAAGATGCAATACATCTTTCGATTATAAGTGTCTAAATTCGCTATAATTTCAACGAGAAATATAAATTACCATACTCCGATAATAAAAAAAAAAGGATGTACTCACTCCTAACTTATTATAAGCACTGTGATTTGTCATAGGTTTCATTTTATTGTGTTTTTTTCAGAAGAAAATGAATATTAAAATACTTTATAATAATTGAGAAAACACAATAAATGTGAAAATATATTTTAAAATTTTTATTTTCAATTAAAAAAACATAATAATTGAATTTTAGGACAAATAAAAATATTTTATACTATATTACTTGGTTGTTAAGTCACGCAACAATAAGAAAAGGCTTTGTCCAAGAGGATGATGTATTTCGCGGTAAACTCCAGAAATGGAGTTAATCAACAAACAATCATCCCGTGATCTTTTTTTTTTTTTGTTCTTTGTCTTTCTTTCAATAAGCTGGTTAATGACAAAGACTGCAGATCGATTGTGTTTAATTAAGGATCTTCTCGGTTATAGTATTAATTCTAAACGTTCAATTAATTCCTAGATGAAGCTTAGAGAGACTTCTCCATGAACTTTTGTTGTGTGCGTCTCATACAATAATCCTAGAATGTAACTTCAGTATACCTTTGTTTGCCAAAGATATTATTGGTCGCTTGGTCGCAAACTATTGTTGCAAACGCCAAAATCCACATACTATTGCTAGGTCACATAAAATCATGTCCATATCATCATTAAAATCTTATTTGATGTATTCAATAATTCAACACATTCGACTCTTATTTTGATACATACACATTACAAAATTTGTGATTCTCTCTCAAACAATGTTTTCGATAACTAGTATTTATAAAATTAACAGTAAGATTATACTCCCTTCGATCCTTATTATAACGTTTGATTGTCCTAAATTTCCTTTAGGATGTCTTTCTAATTGGAAAAAAAACCTTAAAATCATTTCTAAATAATTAAGAGAATACAACGAATGTGAAAATATATTTTTAAAATTTTTTTAATTAAAAAAATATTTTATGTAAAATATAAAACAAATTAAAATCTCTTATTATAATATAATAAGGATAGGAGGAAGTATTAAATGTTGCCACCGGCCAAACCAACAAGGCGGATACTAGCTTCTGGATTTCATTGGTCACACAAAGATAGGTCAAATTAGTCCGTACTACGAAAAGGGACCAATCGTCACTAAATAATGTTTCCCCATTGGCGGTCTCTCCTAAATCCATAATGCCCTTCCGCCCAGGGTAGTAGTCCCTTCATTTTATAGCCACCCAGCTAAACTTTCTTGATTTATTGCAAATATTGCATGCGTATCTTTCATGCTGACCTTGAAGATGTACACATTAATCGAGTTTTAGAATTAGCGATATTATTCCAGATTCGCCAACATTAATTTCCTAGCCGATTTAGTTACAGAGCTCGTCATAAAGTCGACGTAGTGTATTGTCTATTAATTTGCAATTTGCATCGTAGTACTACATTGAAGTTTCACAATACTCCTTCAATTTTATTTATAAGATCAGCATATTTTATGTACTCACTCCATTTTAAAACGATTTTGTTATAAGTTCAACGAACAAATTAAACTCTTTTTCATCGAAATAAGTATCATCTTTTAAAAAATTCTAAGTTTCTGACATTGGATGTCGTGGCTTTGGTTAAAAATGTGGAGTTGGCTTTGGTTAATAAGATAGATTCAATAACTTAAAATTCCCTAAATCAATAAATATAAGTATCATGTCGTGATTGATTAGGCTTTCATAAATCCATAGAATTGGAGAGTACAATCTTCGTCGACAAGATGCAAATATTATCAATTCAATTTGGTGTACGGGTAACGAGCAGTTTAAGCATTACAGGAAACTGGAAATATTTTTAGATAAACTCTTTTATTTTTTTTTTCCCTCTAATAACATGCGTCTTTATTCATCTTTTTAAATATTTCAAAAGGCAGAATACATTTGTACCCGGTTTTTGCCCGTATAAAAATAATGCAATTATATTTTGTGTCCGTCGCTCTCTAATAATCATAGTGAAACCTTTGCCGGCCTATAAATATACATGATCTAAACAAAATCATGATGCATCGATCCACAATCTTTAATGTGCTCTAATTTTATTAATACATTTGATAGTTATTTCCTTTCGCGAAGGAAATACACACATATATATACTATGATGTTCATTCTATCTTAATAATTTAATGAAAACATATGTTCAATGGATGAATACATCTGCCACGAATTTATGCCTTTCAGAACTCGATCGGATCCCCTTTGTCAAAAATTCAGGGAATATTGCTCTGTGGCCCGTGCTGTATATTTTGCTACCTTTTTCCCCCGCTAACTTGCTTTAGGTCTTCTATACTTTTCACCTAAATTAAGAGCTAATTATGGGCTGGCAGGATTTTTGTAAAACTTTGCAGGTAGTCCATCCCGAGGGACTGGAAATGGGCTATATTGTACGTCATTTTTAGATCCGATCACTTCCCACCTGAAAAAAAGAATAAAGAAAGAGAGAAATTTTTTAGTTATGATTGAAGACGTGGTAAAAATGAATAATTGTAATATCGAGATTCTGGATATGAATATCGATGATAACGGATTAAAAGGAACAAAAGAAAAGTTCGGGATCAAATTTTTACACGTAATTTCTTTCATAAAAGGGCAAAAAGAAACGAGGTCTAACTATATTATTTGTGTTGTTAAAGAAAAGAAGTGTCATTATCATACCTATACTTGGTGACCAAATGGTGGATCATAATCAACATTTCCAGCTTCGCAAGCTCATTTCCTGGACATGCATGGGCTCCACCTCCGAATGGCATAAACGTATTGGGTTTCGGAGCAACCTAAATTCAAACCCACAAAAAAAAGAGGGAAAAAAAAGGGAAAATGGATTTTGTCAGTACTTGTGCATGAATAAAACTTCGTCTCATCTTCCAGAAGAAGTTGAGGATGAACAATTTCTTTTTTTTTAAATAAAAAAATAATAATAATAAAAAGAGGTAGCTCCAAAATCACATACCTCAAACCTAGAAGGATCAAAACTTTTGGGGTCCATGAAATATTCGGGATTGTGATGGATGATTCTAAATAATGGCATCACCTTCCACCCTTTTGGTATAAGAAATCCTGTTCCAAAATTTAATAACAACCCATTAATATTTTGTATGATTAGGCAATGAAACAGTAAGGTCCTATTGATTTGACGACTACTATTCAATTATATGTATCTTTTTACATTTTTAATATATTTTTCTACTCATATATACTGATTTTAACATTCACATGTATATATATAGTGAAAAAATACGAATAATTATATAATATTTTTGGATATACGACAAGTATAAAGTCAACTATTTATACCAATTATTGTAGACAAGACTTAAAGTGGTAGTAGTAGTATAACTTTTTTAGATTGGAATCAATAAATTAAATGCTCACCATCATACTCAACGTCAACCACAGCTTCTCTAAACGTGAAGGAGATGATGCTAGCCATTCTCAAGCTCTCCAAAATAACCTTATGGGTCACTGGCATATTTCTTGTTTGAGCCCATGTCAATGGCAGCTTCCCTTCGCCATTTGAGTCGTAAATTGCCTTCTGCTCCATCTGGAATATCATTCATAAAAAATTTTAAGCACTAAAGATAAGTGAAAAACAAATAATTTATGATGATGATGATGATGAGTTGGTAATTTCTTTCTTCGAAAAAAGTTTAAAAGATACTCACTTTAACGGATTCTAAGAGTTTGGGGTCATCGTGGAGATATTTAAGAATCCAAGTGAGGACACTGGCTGTTGTGTCTTGAGCTGCAAACAAAACTCCAATGATATTGTCCGCTATTTGATCCTCAGTCAATGTTTGGTTCCTCTCATCTTTGAAGTTTAGCAAATGACCCAATAGATCTTTATCCATCACCTTTTTCTCCCTTCTCTCCTTTATGATTTCCCTTATTATCTCATTCAACCTCTTCCTAGCCTGAAAATTGAAAAGGCATTAATACCAATGAGTTGAATAAAACTCCCACATTGATGTATATATATAGTTTCAGATTAATTATAGATGGTAATAACAGTGACTTTTCATAGTCTCTGATCAATTAAACAACTGATGACTAACCTTAAGAGCTCTCCGGTATGCGGTTCCGGGTAAGTTAGTCGGGAAAGAATTGTACCCTTTATCCACGATCAAATAGTTCTTCTTGAGCTCGTCTTTGTGTTTGGATTCTAAGCGACCGAATATAGTAAGAATGCCCACTTCAAAAGATAACTGTTCATTATTAGTTTCAACAAAAAATTTGATGAGTAAGTACTATATATATATATATGTATGTTACTATGATTATTAAAAACATGATCATAGAATATTTAGACAACAAAAATTTATTGTGTACCTTTTTCATCTCGTGGAAAGTATTGATGGCCGAACCAGAAGCCATGGCTTCAATTCTTGAAATGACTACAGCTTCAATATCCGGCACCAGTTTTCGAAGAACATCTGGAGACAAGGAGCTGTGAACAAGCTTCCTCAAATTAGTATGGTATCTTCCTTCGTGAAAAAACAAAGCCCATGGCCCGATCATAATCTCTTTGCTCTTCGGATACGTCGGTTTAAACAAGTGAGAATGAGTGACTAAAACGAACCGGGCTGCTTCCGGGCTAGCCAGCATGATACATGGGCACCCTAATATATTCGTCTTGAACACATCTCCATATCTAAATCCCCAAAACAATAAAGTGTGAAACTTTAGTTTGGTGGACAAATTCTAAAAGATGCACAAAAAGAAAAAAAAAAGTTGTGTGAAATATATATATAATATATATATATATATATATATGTACCTCTTTTGTTTCTTGGCGAAGAAAACATTAGGGTCTTGGGAGTACAATTGGAGAGTTTCTCCGATAACCGGCCATCCCATGGAACCAGGAGGCAGTTTTGGTTGTTGTTGTTGTTGTTTTGCTTTGTGTTTTCTCTCTTGCTTCTTGGAGAGGTAATAAGAAAGTGCTGATAAGAAGATGAGTATATAAATGAGTGTAGAAACAATGGTTTCCATACACAAGAATAATGTCCCTCTTCTTTTTGTAATAAGTATATATCCTAAAGCTCGCTTTGTTGTTGAGTTTGTGAGAATAGGGTTTTGAGAAATTTGGAGATTGATGAAGGATGTAGTAGAGAGAGAGTTTGCAAATTATTTTATTGCTTGTCAACTTAGTGAGAAATTTGAGGAAAGGGTCATGCTTTATATAGGAGGAGCTTTGTTTGGGGGTGATTTAGGGTGTGGGGTTTGGTGGGGTTAATGTGTGAAAGGATAGAGATGAGATGCTGTAATGGAAACAGTTTGCCAAATATTACTAGACTAGAGAGACCACTTTGTAAGATAAACATGTGGTTAACTTGGTAGCCAAACACAATTTGATAAGTGTTTTCTTACCTTTTTTTTCTTTTCCCCTCAAAAACTTGAAATGAAGTTTTCAATTTTAATCACTTATGTAATCTTACTAATTATGGTAAGATTCATTATCATGTTTGTTTTAGTTAACTTGTTGTTTATAGAGGCGGTAGAAGACAATGATGTGATCTAATTCATTACTCCATCCATCTATAAAAAATAAAATAAAGTTTACTTTGTTACAATTCCGGCCAAAAAACATATTTTTTGTTACAAAAAGTATTTTATCTAAAACAGTTGTATAAAAAGGGTTAAGATGAAAAGAAAAGATGATTAAGATTATTTGACGTTAATTGGCAACATAAGATTGTTACTTAGATTACAAAATTTTTATTTTTATTTTTTTAAAAAAATTCAATGCCTATGGTTAAATGGCTATCACAGGGGCGAAAAAAGGACGAGAATTCATCGCCCAAAATGATTTTCGGCCTGTTTTAGTAATTCGAAATAAAAATATTCGTCTAGGGAGTTAGTTCTTAATTTAACGGTCGACATGCTACACAATTAATTCGGATAATAATGACTTGAAATAGGGCATGAAATAACAATAAAAATACTTACCTCAAATATTGGAACTAGTGGATATTTCCAGTTACATTGTAAAGAGAAAGCTACAAAAATCAGTATTATTGCCACGGAAATATTGGAACTAGTGGATATTACAACATTCTAAAAATTTGTACGATTTTTCTGTGGCTGAGTTTCCCGAATTATTCTGAGTTACCTACCTGACCATCTCATATAAAATCAACACCCACTCTCTCTCCCCTCCCCAATAAAGACCTCCACTTCTTGAAAACGAAAAACAAAATCACATTTGCAAATCTGGCATCTAGGTATCCACCGGGGTTTTCGCATATTCAATCATTCGCTCTCAAAAGTTAAAACCGTGATTAGAATATGATGTCATTAGAATTTCTCATTTTTGAAAATCCTTATCGTTCAAGTTATGATATCAATCTGGTTCGTGATATCAAAAAATTATAGAAATGATTAATTTTCGAAATAATAATAACATGTAACAGTAGCTAGCTAACAGGTGCTCTTCAATTATTAGCTCAACAAAATTGCAATTAAATACTGCAGTGATAAGTGCAATTGTAGCTCATAAGTAATCAAAAAGTCAATAGTGACAAGACAGTGTTCTGTCACCACCACAATATTTAATTAGTTTGCTCCCAACCATTTTACATCAACCCCAAAAAGCGACACTAATTTAGTATTCATCTCATAATCCAGATTTATCAAACGTTAACACTTATAAACAGTCACATATAAGTAGATAGCATAATTTATTTTTTTGATTTAAAAACAGTTTCAGTTAATGCCTTCACTTGTTTTCTATGAAAACTGTTGGGTGTACTACAACTTTTGTTTACTGTTAATTTTTCGGTGAAAATTATGTATTTTCTTTAAAAAGATTATACTTTTATTTTACTTATTGTGTCTGACTAGATAGTTTTCTGATTACATATTCTTGCGAGATACAACTGGTTGATAGAATAATTATTCATTTTTTTTTATGATTACTCGAATGGTTTAGTATGGACTGAAAGTATACTCCATTGGAATTTTGATTGGGAAATTCAAATTAAATTAAAAAAGAAGAAGAGAGCAATACCAAAATTAACGTCGTGCATAATATGAAGTTACGTCGTCATTGATAAGATCAGTTCAGAATGTACAAAACGTCCGAGAGGCCACAAAACCGTTTGATATCGAAATCAGTCACTGTGAAGTCCAGTAAAGACCGACGTAGCTATATATGACATTTTGTGAAGTTTGGCCCATCTGTGTATATATATCTATCATTCATGCATTTATATCTTCCATAACCCTTGTTAGCCAATGAGCTCCGTGAAAAAAATAAAATAAAAATTTGTGTTGAGAAAATGATCCTTAAGATAGATATTATCTCCAGGATATAGAAATGTAAAAGTGCTACTTAATTTCATTTAACAAATTTGTTCAACAAAGAACAACTGATAATTTGATTGCACTCTCTTTGAAATTTGAACTCTGGATTTCATAATAAAAATTTCTTAATTATTGTCTTAAGTAACCTTTACACAGTCGCCTCTTTGAACACAATAACATGAATAATTGACTGAATCCTAAGTTTTTGTTGTTGTGGTACATAAATGCTTAAATGGACAAAACAATTGTGTATATGAGCGAGGATGAAGAGGGAAGAACTTTTTTCAGCCTTGAGTTTTCCCAAAATATCTAGTCGGTTCTCATGGGTTCCTTAAACCTCCTCACATTGCATTATTGTCACAAATTTATGTATGACATATGCAACATTATGCATTAAAGATGAACTCAATAGCAGTCCCATCGGTCACACTTTTCTCTTCTTAATTAGAAGTTTCAAAATATACTTTCATTTCATTCCATAAACCATATTTAATTAAATACATCGACCCTTAAAAAAATAAACTCTAGTAGAATTGATCAATTATCAGTACAACTGTTTGGAAGAATAATACCAATCTCTCCGTCCCACAAAAATAGTTCACATTGAGTTTTATACTGTTTTTAGTATAAATTTGAAAACTCAATGTAGACTATATTTTTTTGGGACGGAGGTAGTACTAATTATTGTTCTTAAAGATAATGTTTGAATGTTTTTAGCAAAAAAAAAAAAAAAAGAAAAAACACTTTTTTCTCTTTTTCTTTATTAAGTTAAGAGTTTCTCTGGCTTGCACTAGAAGAACAATATTTTGATGGTAAAACAACGGAGTTTTGGGCCGGACAGCTGCCCTTTGAATCACGGCAAAAAGAAAGATCCGAATCAGCAAAAGCCGGCGCTGAGTCAATTTTGCCTTTTTAGCCGACTGATGGGCCTGGATGCATCGGCGGTGGCGAGGTAACACCGTAGACCCGCGCTTGTGATCAAAATCTCACACATTCTAGATCCGATCCGACGGTCATCACCTCACGTCCATTTCAATGCCGCGAATCTTCGGGAGCACAGGACCCCTCCCTCCCCCCTACTCCTACGTATTGTGATGTCAGCTTTCAAAACCATCAGGTGAAAGTCAACATCAACGAGTAGCTGGAAGGGGAGGTACACGTGTCGAGATCTTTGTGTTTCTTGAGGTACAATTCTCTGTGGTCGGGTGTTCATTTAGCACATTTCAGGAAAAGCGTAATGCGATAGGATTTTAACCATTTTGGTTAAATTAAATTGACGGCTGATTTTTTTTTACTGTGATTTTGCCGTTTGATAACGGCATTAACGGCAGCCCCATATGGCGCACGTTTTGTTGTTTCACGGAATTACTATTTTTGGCTGTAATGTCGTTTTGGCCGGTCGTTGTTCTTTCTCTGCACTTTTGCCGGCGTTTTTGATGTGAATGGACGTGTAATTTTAAGGTCTTTTAAGTTATTTGGAACGAAGAATAATCACATGATCTTTCTAATCACATCAAATCAATTATGTGCTCTCTAGAATTCCTCAGGTTTGATGACATTTTAATCCAATTGAGAGACGACTATGTCTCTCGTTTGATTTGATTGAGTTAGACCTTTTCTTTTTTTATTGGAAATATTCTACTACATTCTAAGATTTATGTAAAAGCGATGACTAAAACTGAAAATGGAATCGCAATTCCCAAAACTTACAATAGAGTTGCAGTAGCTTGTTATGTTTTGAAGTTATAAATTCTTGACAGTGATTAGAACCGAATTTTAAAAATCGTCGCTGAAATATATATATATATATATATTTATAACTAAATCATATAAGTAATAGACGAGATTAGTTGAAGACTATGAAATCTTGTTAGTAGTGGTCGCTGAACCTCGCGAAACATCCATTGAAATGTAGCTATCGTCCAATCAAATGGGAATGATCATATGCTGTTTTCACAGCCTTCATTTCATCATTTGTGCTAGAAATGCAATGTGTATAACCGAATTACTAATGAACCACTTTCAACCACTTCCTACCTTTTTCTTATTATTTTTGTTTCAAAAACAATATGGAAAGAGGCAAAAAAAAAAAAAAAACCTATAACTTAACCCTCACTTCATCTTGTTGAATAGGATTTGATCCTTGAATTTTATTTTTTTTAAAATCAACTTGAAAATTTATCACCAGATTAAGATCAGTTTCTTTGAGGTTATGCTAATGCTATCAAAGTGACATGTCCAACAAGAATAGAGATGCATCTTTGAGGACTCGAACGTCTCTTTAGCTGGCTGTCAAATTTACCACTCAAAATGTTTAGCCCCACCGAAAATCATGTGTGTCACCTTAAAAAGCTTCGATTTTTATATTGAGATTTTGTACTTTGAACTACTAAGTAGTCCCATGGTTTGGTCTTGAATTTGAAATATCATGAAGAGTAATGCGCCGTAGTTTTGGTTTGGCTTATTATTATTATAACAAGAAGTTTGGATTCGAAAAATTTTGTTGAAGTCTTATTAGGACAATTTCATCCAAACCAAAACCCTCTTCCTTTTGGCATATTATTATGCTACTTCCGTCCCAATAAAATAGTCCACATTGAATTTTCAAGTTTGTATTAAAAATAGTACGAAATTTAAAACTCAATGTAGACTATTTTGTAGAACGGAGAGAGTAAAATGGAGTCCACCGTCCGTCAAAAAGGAAAAAAAAAAATAGCCTCCTCTTTAATCAAAATGTTGTTCAAGCAAATCATTGTTTTCTTTAACTCTTCTTAAAAAAAAAAAAGTCAGAAAATGGTGCATGGTTTTCCTGAGGTGATGAATCATGAAGAAGCTGA